ACACACACACACACACACACACACACACACACACACACACACACACAGCAGGCAGGCCTCATGAGCAAGGCTTCCTGACTCCTTCCTATCATAATCTGAAATAACTCCACTACTAGTCAAAGCTTCTATGTAGGTACCATGGTCCAGAATTCACAGTGAAGACATAGAACTGAAAAGGTTGAGAGTCTGTCTTTCGAGGAGTGCTCCTGGTGGTGTGAGATGAGGCTGTGAGTACACACCAGGACACTCAGTCAGTTGAAGGCCTGTTTCTTTTACTGCTCTAAATCTTAAGGTTTAGTCCTCTGTTTAGGGTATAACTTATACCTTGCATCAGGGTACAAATTCAGTATGTTAGATACATACATACATACATACTCTCTAATGTCTTATACAACAGCACATCCAGACAGCAATTGAGTGAATCAAGAGATTTCTAACTGGTTTTTGTTATTGTTTATTTAAAACATTTCATTTATACTTTATATCTGTGATTAAATTCCTTGAAGAAAAAAAAAACAAGTCTGATTTGATGGTTTGAAATGTGAACAGATAAGATTCCTTCTCTTAATCCATATCAGTGTGTGACTGGACTTGACTGCAGAGCTCTATTTATCCTTGAAATGATTTGTTTATTTGGAAGAAAAGCTACAACAAAAATGTCTCTATTGGTGATTGACCATTGTGTTATGGCATATCCTATAAAAAGGGGTGTTCTTCACTACTTGGAACCTTGTTCTTGATTATCATGTGTACTTTTGGAGAGTTTGTCCAGACTCCCTGCCACCTTTCCTTTCATCAGGGGCGCTATAATGCTTTCCCCATGCCATAGAGTGTACTGATAGTATGCAGTATTTCTCAGAAAATACAATAAAATAGTTTGAAAAGCATAAATGATGTAAAAGATCTTTAATGGTCCTATAAAGGACTAAACCCATTTAAAAACTATTAAACATACCTTATTGAATTTTAATACAGAATTATAGCGATACATGAATGAACATAATTGACCTATTTTATTCTAGTGAGTATAAGCTTTTCATGAAAAGTAGCTTTTTCACTGAAAAGTAGCAAGCTGTTCAACAAAATACATGCATATAGTTAGTGTTAAAAATGGTAAACCAGGCAGGAGGGTCCCTGTGCACACACGTGAAAGGAAGTAGCCTGACTCAGGCACTGGGCCTCTGCAGGGACGGTGGGCAAGGAAGAATGCTTCATTTTTTTCTCCCCATAAAATCTTACCCTGTTTTTTGCTTAGGTATTTTTAAGAGCAGTTTTAAAATTGATAGTTAACATTTCAGAATTATTAAACATTTCCTCAAAACCTAGTGTTACATCAACTGTCTCTGGGCGCACTTAGTATATTTGGTCTACTCAAGTAAGATAGGGCGCCAGTAACAGACTGGAGTCATGATTCCACTCAAGCCTTGCGTGGGGATCTATTGAGCTTCTGGGGCTTACTTGCAGCAGCACGAGTGACCCTCAAATGGTTGTCACCCCAGAAGGATTTAGGCTTCCTCACAGCTGCCTCACAGATGCCTCCTCCCTTCAGTCTAGTTTCGACAGTCCAAATACTCATGCACCTCTCCTAGATCCTATGCATCTTGAGCAGAGAGTTACATGCAGCTGGCCGGGAGGTGCAGAGGGGAGGGAATGGCTGGAAACTTTTAAGTGAGGATCTAATAGCTTCTCCACTTTCCTGATGTCAATAGCCCCAGTCTTTTTTTTTTTTTTTTAAGTGTATTTGTATCTGTGTAAATGTGTGTGTGCCTGTGGAGGCCAAAGGTGCTACTGTGAGCTGCCTCACCTGGGTACCAGGAACTCAGCTCAGGTCCATTTCAAGAGCAGTACTCCCTCTTAATCACTGAGCCATCTCTCCAGCCCAACAGGCCCAATCTGTTGTGGTTAATCCCAGCTGCTCTGATTAAGATGCTAACGGCAACTGAGAGGACCATGTTCCACAACAGTTACTGTCTGACCAACCTGAAGTCCAAATAAAATTAGAGTATTTCCCACCTTGACACTTTAAAGTCTTTCTTTAAAATATATTTTATTTATGTTTGTGTACTTGAGTTGTTTTCCCCAGAGGCCAGAAGACATCCGATCTCTTAGAGCTGGAGACACAGGTAGTTAGTTGTGAGCCGTCTGTAGTGGGTGCCACAAATCAAACCTGGATCTTTGGAAGAAGTGCAAGTGCTCTTAACCACTGAGCCATCTCTCCAGCCCCACTTTAAAAGTCTATTATACGCTTTTTACAGGAAAAATTTACATGGACTTACTGCATTATGTATTTTGTTTATGTGTCTTAGTTCTGAGCTTCCTTGGATTCTGTTAAACACGGAGTCACACCCTAAAATGATGAGGCTTTTTTTTTTCTCTTAGCCTCTTGGATGAAATTTGGTATTATATGAATAGATATCATTGAATTTTGGACCTTCCTATAGTTGAAATTTTAAAATATGCTTTTAGTTAAGTGTTCTCAATACTATTTTGAATCATGCTCGTATTTTGTTCTGGTTTGTGAAGCATTCCTGGTTAGAGTATTGGGCGTCTGAACAACTGCCAGACTGTTTCCAGAGTAGGCACTTATGCTTCTGTCAGCAGTGTAAGGGATCCCGTTTCACCATACCCTCCCCAATACTTCTTTCTTTTAGGAGGAGAGGGCTTGCTAGGGATTGAGGTGGGGCAGGGGTTCTTTCCTACTGAGCATTTGCCCTCAGCCCTATGCCTTGGTCATGGACTCTAGCTGTCTTAGTAGATGAGACATTGGCTCACATTCTGTGACTTTGTTGTGCATTCCCCAATGAGGAAGGATGCTGAGCATGCATCCATGTACTCTCTGGACATCTGTCTGCAAACCCTCTTTGGGGTCTGCCTACTCATGTCATCATCATTTTGCATTTTGAGCCTGTTGTTGACTCTAGTTCTGGGCTGAAATCAGTTATCAGAACTGTGAGTTACCATTTGCTGAGTAAAGTTTTAATTTTTAATAAAGGTCTCCTTTTTTTCCTTGGCTGATAGTGCTTTTGATGTAATTTTTAATAAGTCATTACCCATCCAGAGCCATGAAGACTTATTTCCTTAGTTTTTATGTTGTTACCTTTGCATTTAGATGGTTGGCTCATCTTGAGCTAACTTTTGTGTGTGGTATTGGGCATCTGTCTTCATTCTTTAAACAGTGAATTGTTCCAGCACCATTCATTGCTTTTGCTTTGCACTGTGTGGACACCTTTGTTGAAAAACTGGTTATAAATGTAAGGGTTCTCATTGGTTTGTTCACTACTTTATTAGGTTCTTAGACCTCTGCCTCCCTCCCAACCTTTATTCCACTGTAATCCCTTCCAACCCCCCAACACTTTGTAGGAGAGGAAGAAGGATGGGGGAAGGAGGGCATAGACTTCTTTAAACTACTTCCTATTGATTAAGGGTGTTGAGTTCCTAGGGGCAAGTCCAGTCTTCATTGTCAGAATATCCAGCAGTCCAGCAATAGCAGACATAGCCGCAGGATGATCCAGCAGCTGGGGGACCAACAGCTGCCACAGACCCTCTGGGGTTCTGAATTTGTACCCCCTCCAGAGTCCCCAGAATTAAACTATCTGTTGCTGACAAAAACCATGCCTCTCCTAGAACAAGAGACAGTCAGAGTTAGCGGCTGTGGACAAACTGAAGCAGCTCCATATCCCACACCTGGGATTAAAACAAAAACGTCATCACAAAATTGGGTTTTTAAGGCAACCAAATTTCTCACTACAAGTTCTGGAGTCCTGTAGCTGTCTTTGGCTACTTTGTGGGTTGTTCTTTCTTTCGATCTTTCCACTCCCTAACACTAATAAGAGAGAAAAACAGATAGAGTGGAAAGGAAAGAGATCCCAGAATAAAGTCAGGGGTTGGAAAGGGGGAGACATTATCATTAGACTACTTCCTGCTGATTAGGAGTCTCAGGATATCTAATTTCTCCTTGTTTCTTTTTTGTTCATGACTACTTAACAAACTTCAAACACAACAACCAACCAACAACCCACACTGCCTTTCGGGGCCCTAGCATTTATATACCTTCTGAAAAGTCCTCAGAATTTTAAATGTCACACAATTCATGCCCCTGCTAGAGCACGAGGCAAATCATAGTCAGCTGCTGTGGACAGTCTGAAGTAGTCATATATCCCACACCTGGGATTAAAAAGAAAACATATTCTTAATCATATTTCTGTACTTTTAAAAGAAACCAAAATTCCAGAATTCTCACTACAGAGTCCTAAGACTGTTTTACTGATTTTTTTAAAAAGTTGCTTTTCTAGATGAGTTTTCTTTTTATCTTTTAATAAGTCAATAGGCAATTGCAATTATCAGGTTACTTACTGTTTTAAAATATGTATACAATATCTTAGGTAAAAGTTTTAGCATTATATAAAATTTCAGGCACTGTGCAATAGCTCTTAAGTGATTTTTGTATTTATTTAACAATGACTCAGAGATGGAAAATTGCCAGGAAAAATGTTCATCCCATTTATATTAGCATTATACACACTGAGGAAATACTGAAAACCCAAATGCCAAAAGTGGCAAAATTCAGAGATATGTGTGGTTGTGCAGAGAGAGGCTGTGCTCTCTCAAACTTCTGCATTTGGAAAACTAGACATTTGTTGTTAAAAACTACAAGAGAAACTTTTGAAATATTGTTTTACATTTTCTGTTTCTTAAAAACAAATGTTTCTGCACACTTACTCTTTGCTGCTTAATGTTGTATTCTTGGCATGCCAAAGACCACGTCTCAGGGAGGCACTGGTGTCTTCTCATCTCTCTGTTACATGTGCACGCTACTGAACAAGGAGTGCCTCGCTTGCTTGTATTGTGTGGAATGCTTCTGTGTATGTGCCAGGCCACACTGCTGTGTGTCACTCATGGGCAGCCACCATGTCGTAGATGTCAAGCTGACTTTTTTTTTGTTATTTAGGAGTCTTTGTCTGAAGTAGAAGAAAAATACAAGAAAGCCATGGTGTCCAATGCACAACTAGACAATGAGAAGAACAATCTGATCTACCAGGTGGACACCCTCAAGGATGTCATTGAAGAGCAGGAGGAGCAGATGGCAGAGTTTTACAGAGAAAACGAAGAGAAATCAAAGGTAGCTGCTCATCTCATACACCACTCTCTGGGGGCAGAAAATCAAAGCTTGTTTAGATGTTTAGAGGAGACAGGGCTGGTGGGAACTGCAGTCAGAATTGAGGGCTCTGAGAAATCAGCCAGTGCCCTAAAAACATTGTTTTTTTTTTTAAGGAAAAACTTCTATATTTTTTTAGGTTTTTAAAAACTAGATTATGAACTCAAATATTTATTCTTTTAACTGGGAAAATGACATTGAGTTGCTTCTTTGTTTCCATTGTAAATAGAATGACAGAACTTAGAAGCTCTCATTGAGACAGGCGATTTTTTTTTTTCTGTGAGTTTCTAAGTACTTAAAGAGACTCCACTTTCCAAATAACCAGTTACTTAGAAGCAGCAGTTTAAAGATGTGAGTCAGAAACTGACAGGTGTTTCCTTAAGAAGAAGTTACATACTGCTGAAGAATAAAAGTACCATATCTGCCCTCAGGCAGCTGCAGCAAAGACACTAGGTTGTAGTAAACATTTATTGGACCTGGACATTTTAAAGTTAGTTTCTAAGTAGAGAATTAATGGATATGATTGTTAGACATTAGTTACTGTTATATTGCCAATATAGAAATAAAGAGAAAACAGTTTAGGAAATTGGTGTTGATGAATTTTTGGAAACACCATCTGAATTGTACATAATAAAGGGAGATGGCTAGTTGTACAGCGTTTGATAGGCTCACATGTCATGGCGGTATAATACTCTCATAAGAAACCAGCTTCTCTGACATTTAACAACATGTTACTAAGGGGCTGTCACTAAGGAGTGACTTGGTGGCTAAGCACACTTGCTGTTCTTCAAGGGGACCCAGGTTTAATTGCCAGCACCCATATCAAGTAGCTCACAGCTGCTTGTAACTCCACTTCCACAGGATCTGACCCACGCTTCTGGCCTCTGCAGGTTCCAGCATACACATGGTACATATGCGTGCATGTAGATATTCACATAGACACATAAAATAAAAATAAGTATTTAAAATTTATATTGATTTTAAACATAGAAAAAGAAGTAGAGCGTCTAATAGGTCCATCAGCTTCCTCTTGGTGACATCAACCCATAGTTAGCCCCACCTCATCCTTTTCTACTCTGTGTTTAAAACAAATTCTAGGCATCTAATTTTAATAATTAATATGGACAGACTACATGTTCTTTTTTTAAAAAGTGTATTACAAAAACATTCCAGGGGCTGGAGATGGTTGAGCAGATAAAGCACTTGTCATATAAACTTAAGGACAAGAGTTTGGATTCCCCGTGCCCATGTAATACCATGGCATGGCAGTGTCAGGATACCTAGAGTAAGCTAGGGAGACAAGACAATCAGTGAGCTCTGGGTTCAGCAAGAGACTCTGCCTTAATATCAACGGTGAGAGAATAAATCCCTGGCTTAAGCCTCCGCCTCCACACTTGCATATCTGACACCCACAGATGCATGCATGCACATGCTCATACAAAAGACCAAGTCAGACTTGAAAAATTAATATCAATTCCTACATATTAAAATTTTAGTAATTTCAAAGCACCATACACAGTTTTCCTTTCTATGCTTAGAAAGAAATCAGAAGGCCGGGCGGTGGTGGCGCACGCCTTTAATCCCAGCACTCGGGAGGCAGAGGCAGGCGGATTTCTGAGTTCGAGGCCAGCCTGGTCTACAGAGTGAGTTCCAGGACAGCCCGGGCTATACAGAGAAACCCTGTCTCGAAAACCCAAAAAAAAAAAAAAAAAAAAAAAGAAATCAGAAGCTAGTCATGGTCGTGCACATAATCCTAGCACTTGAGAGGCTGAGGCAGGAGGATAATGGATTTATGGCCACCTGGATTACACTGAGACCCTTTCTCAAAACAAAACAGAAACAGAAGTTGGTATGGTGGCACACATCTTTAATTCCAGTATGGAAGAATTAGAGTCAAGAGGATGTTCTGTGAGTCTGAGGCCAGCCTAGTGTAGTAGTAAATTCTGGGCCAGCTGGGACTGTCTAGTGAGACCCTGAGACCCTGTGTCATCCCTACCCCACCCCAGTCAACCCTCTCCCAGCCACGGCCTCCCAGGATCCAGGTGAGTCTCACACCTTGAAATGAGTTGCTGTGTTGAGACTCTTAGCTAATTGTTCCCTTTCCACCTCTTCCCAGTACAGTTTAGATTTGAGGAAACTTGATTGCCTGTCCTAGGAGCTTGATGTTCTTAAATACTTTCTTTTTTTCATGTCCACAGTGTCTTTTTGGGGGTTCCCCATCCTCTTAAGTTCCTATGAACAGGCTGTCAGGTGTAGACATGTCACTAAATGTAACTGGAGCCCTTTTTTGCAAGCCTGCTTCAGAAGTGGCATGGTCCTTTTTACAGAGCCCAGGTAGCTGGCTGTCGTCTCATGCTGTGGCTGGATGTTTAGAGCTTAGATCCAGTTCCAGGGAATCTGATACCCTCTTCTGGCTTTCATAGTTACCAGGCAAAAAAGTGATGCACAGTCGTACATGCAGGCAAATACCCATACATACAAAATAATTAAAAATGATTCAATTCAGGCTGGACGCCATGTGGGGGGGAATTCGAGGGTGGGGAGGTGGGAGTGGAGGGTAGGTGGGGGCATATCCTCATAGAAGCACGAGGAGGGGGGATGAGATAGGGGGTTCCTGGGTGGGGCTGGGGGGAATGGGGTAAGGGGATAACATCTAAAATGTAAATAAAATATCCAATAAAAAATGATTCAATTAATATGTAACTTCCCATTTAAGGTCTATGATTCAGTGGAGTTTAGTATATTCACATAAAGGTGCATCTGTCACACCTACAAAATAGTGACATTCTCTCAAGTAGAACCTGACTATTCTTTAGTCGTTATATTCCTACTCCTGATCCCTCAGCCCCAAGTAACTACTGGTCTTCTTTGTGTCTCTGTAAATGTCCTCATTCTAGACTTCGATGTCAACAGGATCATAAAAGGGACTATCTCATGTTTACTATCTCACAGTGTAGTAACCCTGAGTCAGCCGTGTTGTGGCATACATATAAGTGCTTCATTTCTTCCCGTGACACTTTATTATTCCATCTTTAGGGTAGCTACATGTGTTGGGGGATCCAGCAGCATTAATTGATATTTGGATCAATATCAATTTTTTCCTTTTGGCCTTTTGTGAGAAATGCTGACATGAGCACCTCTGTAGATTTGTGTGGACATTGCTTTCCTTTGTCTAATTATTTAGAGTGAGATTGTTGGCTCGTTTGGCAAGTACACAAACCAAGTGAGGAGCAGCAGACTTTCCAAAGCAATGCTAGCACTTTAGCCGATGTTACTGGCTGTGTTCTTTACTAATATCTTCTCCACTGTTTGCTAGTTTGGCCTTTCTAGTCTAGCCATCTAGTGGATGTAGCTCTGATTTGCATCTCTCTGATAAAGCTACTGGTTTTGAGTATCTTTTCATGGGCTTCTGGTTTCTCTTTTGAAATTGCTCATTTTTCAATTTTTATTACTGTTGTAAGACTATAGATATGTTCAGATATAGGTTATGTAACAAATAAATGATTTGTACCTGTCTTCTCCAATTTTTGTGTTTCTTTTTAACCTCCTTATGCTTTGTGGCCTTATTATCTTGTATCATGTCCATCTTTAGAAAGGATCTTCATTTTTTATTACCTAGATGAGACACTTTGCATAGTTTCAGCACTCCTTTGCTTTTATAGTTTCAAAATAAGGAGTTAAACTTTCACAGTGGCCAACCATCCTTTCTGAAGTCTTTGTAAACTTGTGTGTTGTGGTTTCAGCTTTTGTCCCTTTTGATGTTCAGATTTTCCCACTGCCAGTGCTTGTGAGCCCCTTTTCTGCTGACTCCCAAGCAGTGTGGAGGGCTCACTGATAGGTGGCCTCCATGCTTTCTGACAGACGAGGATATTCTGGCCTTATCTTTAGCATCCTTTGTCAAAGGAGGGCCTCCATGTTCCCATGTTCTCCCGCAGGCCTGGGGCCGCTCTTGATGCTCAATCACTTCATGGCCTTTCAGTCAAAATATGTATGTGGGCTCTTGTTTGCTTGTATGACAAAAGAAACCGTGCAGTAATGGTTTAAGTTTATATGCATGACTGTAGGGATTGTACCTGGTCCCTGGTGTTCTCCATCTCCTCTGCCCTAATTCTTACTGCTGTATTGTACATCACTCAGAAAAGCAAGACCACGTTGACACTGATGTAGTTATAGAAAGCAGCCATAGTGTTTGACTTGGCCTTTTCTTTGGGTCAGTAGGCTATGCATAGCCAAAATACTGTTCTTTAAAAATTACTTGAAATAGATTTTCAAAATTCTTTTATTATGATAAAGACATACCACAATAAAGTTACCATTTTAGCCATTTTAAAGGGTATAGTTCAGAAGGATTTTTTTTATACTGTCATGTGAAAGCTGTATGTTTTAATCTTGCAAAAGTAAACTCTAAACAAATTAAGTAATCGAGACATTTGACCCTTTTCCTGGCCTAGGCTACCATTGTGCCTTCCTCAGCACACATCTTGACTTACAACCCTCAGCATGGAGCTCCTTCTTTCACAAGGCTGGACACTGTCCCGTCTGTGCCACATTTACCCACTGATCTTCATTTGCCAGGATGTGGGCTGTTCCTTCTACCTGGGGCTACACTTTAAATTGAACTCTTACCTATGTAAAGATAGGTAGATCTGAAGTCAAACAAAGGACATTAATTTAAATTTTATTTGTCTTCCATCCTCGTTTTCCTCTTTCTTAGCAAGAATTCTTTTTATTTTATTTCTACTTTTTAAAAAATTTCATTCATTTTGTTTTGTGTATGTCTGTGCACCATATGTATGCCTGGTGCTTGTGTAGGTCAGAAGAAGGACTTATATCTTCAGGAACTACACTTAGAGATGGCTGTGAGCCACCACATGCTGAGAACCAAACACAGGTCCTCAGCAAAAGCAACCAGTGCTCTTACCTACTGAGCGATCACTCCAGCCCTGGAGAATTTTCCTTACATTTAGTGATCTGTCTTTCCTTTTATAAGCCACGAAGATATGTCAGCCAGTTTTGATTAAAAAGAGATACAGCATCTGAGATAATGGGAACACGTCCATTTGTGCTCCTCCCTCAGAGAACAGCAGCACACAGTGAGCGCTGCTCTTCATCAGGCACACAGAGCTTCGCTGCTTCTGCTTCTCCTGCTTCTTCTGCTGCAGTTACTCTGTCATGCACAGTCACAGTGTTTGCAGTGTTGCTGTCCAGAAGTCATCCTGCAAAGCTGTGTGTGCTGACACACAGAGCTAATGTCTCTCTTCCTGTGAGCATGTGTCATGTCAGAGTTGTTCCCTTCTTGTTTCCTGGCCTTTAGCCTGGTTTTCCTTGTTGTCAGTGGGTTTTGTTGTTGTTATTGTTGTTATTTTAGGAGTTCTCCAGATGGAAAAAGCATAATAAGTCTTTGTCTTTGAACATAAATTACAATTTCTTGGGAAGTTGTCATTCTTATCTTTACTCTGCGGTAGCTTTTGCTATTCTAACAATTTTAATTAGTCTCTTGCCCTGCTTTTCCTTTATTGTTTTTGGATATTGGAATCTTCTACTCTACAGTGACTCATTTTAAAAAGTCCCTACATTTTGCTGTCCATTTTGGTGCTTTTCTTCCTTCGTCATATAAGATGGAGGTTTAAAGTTTGACCCTTTTCATGCAAGTCAGCCATCTAAGCATGATTCTGAAGTTACACGGGCCCTGATAAATTACACGTGTCCAGCTTCGTGTCTATCCCAAGCCCTCTAACGACAGCCTTTTCTTACTAACAGGAGTTAGAAAGACAGAAACACATGTGCAGCGTGCTGCAGCATAAGATGGATGAACTCAAAGAAGGCCTTCGGCAGAGGGACGAGCTCATCGAGGTATGTGCTTCAGCTGTGGAAACGCTCAATTTTGAAAAATGAGTTGGAAAGGATGGTGGGTGGGAGACTGTTAAAGTCCTATAAATCAGTGTTCTCAGTTTTCCTAATGTGACCCTTTAGTTCCTTATGTTGTGGCATGGTGACATCCAACCATGAGATTATTTCTGATGCTACTTCATAACTATATGCTACTGTTACAAATAGTAATGTAATGATCTGTGTTTTCTGATAGTCTTAGGTGACCTGAAAACAGGTTGTTTGACTCCTAAAGGGGTCATGACATACAGGTGCTGCTATAAAGTTTACTTGTGTTAACATTGGCTTTCTCAAACTTTTTGAAAATGAAATATAAAGGCAAGCATAAAAAGTGAATGCTTCCCAGCTCTATAAAATTCCCCCGTTAGTAGTAGGAGTTTTGACCAATGTCTTTTATTCTTCAGCACTCTTTCCTGAAGATATCATAGGACTTTGGAAAGGGAAGCGTTATAGAGTCACACACTCTGTGGGCCCTAGTGCATGCTGGGCTACAGGACATGATTCCTGAGTGAGACTTTAACCCTTACTCAGGTTGATACACTGAGGTAGCTGAGGAAAAGGAGGGACTTGTCAAGATCTTTAACTTACACTACAGGGCTTCAGGTCTCCACTGTGGTGGAACTCTGTGCCACACTGAGGCAGCATCCCTGTGCAAAGGAGGGTGGCCCACAGCACATGGTCAAGGCATTCGTCCACCACCATCCCCGCTACGCTTAAGTGTTTTGGTTTTTATTAAGAACTCCATGTGAAGATAGTAAAGATTGATTTTGTCATTTGTCACCAGTTTCTTGGAAAACAAGCCCAGGGTGCTAGCTGTAGACTTTGAAAGCCTTAGTCTTTGTATCTTCTCAGTTCCCACTGTTTGGAGGTCAGTATCTACTGATCACATACAACTGGAACTCGAGTATCACATGTAATGCCTTTAGGTCTGGACAGTTAAGATCTGCATAATCAAGTGGAGAGTGTGTGAGTAGGGGCAGTGTTGCTGCTCATTAATTGGTGGCTCACAGGGAAAAACATGGGAAGAAGTCTAGGGTAAGCACCGGCTGCCTTTCTGTTACTGTGATAGCCAAAAGCAACTTAGGGGAGGAGGAAAGGGTTTATTCATCTTGCATTTTCAGGTCACAGTCCATCACTGAGGGAAGTCAGGGCAGGAACCCAAAGGCAGGACTGTTTGCTGTTCCACAAAGCATTATCTCGAACTAGGGAGCTCACTCACAACCAAGGAAGTATACTGTGAACCATGGAGGATGCTGTGTGCTAGCGAGCCAGCTCATGGGCTGGCTGAAGCTTATTTTCCTCACTGTAGCTTATATAGCCCTCACCATCTGCCCACCAGTAAGCTGGGCCCTCTCACATCAGTCAGCAATCAACACAGTCTCTTACAGACATGCCTACAGAGTGACCTGCTAAAGACAATTATATTCACCTGAGATTTTTCCCTCAGGGGATTCTAGGCTGTGTTAGTGCTAATCAGGACATCATTACTTACCAGAAGACTTGCTTCAGAACAGCTAAATGTTAAAATCCCATCTTTCTAAAAACTAATGTTTCTTTTACACTTTGTGATATTCTTGATATTTCAGTTTTTTGTCAACAGAAATCAAAATGATCAAGCTGAGTTATGTCTGTCTTAAGTTCTACTTTACCAAGTAAAACATTCAAAGCTACAGTTTCCTCTCTGGTAAAGGATTACGTATTCATAAGCAAACACACGTTTCCTTCTGCAAATCTAAGTGGCTCCATGTTTGGGTGGAAGGGCAGCTATCCCAGGATGGATATGCAGGAGAATGTTTGTAGGAATGAAGGCGGGATGGCTGCCACAGAACTCTGCTTGGAATAGTTATTCTGATACCCTTTCTGACTTTGCCCTGCCCTCTTTTCTTGTGGTGCTTGGGATCAAACCCAGTGCCTCTACACACACAACACATGCTTGGCTGCATCCTGCTGTCTTCCCTTGCTTACTGGTGGGGTCCAGCCGGGAGACAGTGGGTATCACCTTTCCCTTTTCTGTGAATCATAGACTTCTCCTCCCCCTTGTTAGAATTCACTACCTCCCTGTTTTCCTTCTTCTAACTCCCTTGCTTTTTTCTTTCTGCTTTTATTATTTCCCTCCCCCTCTTCTTCTTCAGGAGAATCAGCGCCTCCAGCAGAAACTAGACACCATGACAAAAGAGGTGTTTGACCTCCAAGAGACCCTGCTCTGGAAAGATAAAATAATTGGGGTATGAGAGGAGGTGGGGGTTTGGAGAAGCTCATTCCTGAGGGGATAGACCAAGAGAATTTAACTCAGAGGTTGCCAAAAAGCCATCCTTTTATTATTACATGTTTAGACAGTATGGACAACTAGAAGACAGAGAATAACTTCTCTAGGAAACACCGGTAGTGTGCCTAGATAGAACTTCTCTTTCCAGACTTCATGCTTATGAAGCTCACAAATAGAAACCTTTAAAAGAAGTGTTCTTTATTCCCCATATAATAAGGATTCTTACCCCACAGCAACCACAGGCATCTAATTCAAATTCCGTGGGCAGTTAGATATGCTTACATTATAAAATACGGACTGAAAGAGAAGATGGGGTGGAGGGGGAATGTTAGCTTATAAATCGTTGGTGAATAAGGTAGGAAAGGATTACAGATCGGTTTAGTTCTGGAAGTGGATAGGAATGTAAGATCATGGGGCTGCCAGACTGTGACACAGCTCTAGTTATAACCCTGAAGGCCCAGTGGGCCTGGTAAGGAGAGCTTCCTCATTGCTGGTTTGTATAATGCTGTGGGTACACGGCACACATGCTGCAGGATAGCAAAATGTCACACACCTAGTTCCAGAGGGTAGAAATTTAAAGAACAAAAGATATCTTTATATAATTTTTTGAAGCTTAAGTTACTAAGTCTCCAAAATTCCATCAAAACCTAGAAAATCTTCCCAAGGGACATTGTGATTGTGAATTACTTTATTTATAAATGTTTTTCCTTGGAAAAATGAAGTGATGTGTGGGGGTGGGTGCACAGAGTAGGGAGTGAAGTGGTGAGTGGGGTGGGTGCACAGTAAGCAGTTTGTGGAGAAAAAGTTTAAAGTGCACACACTGTCCGGGATGGCCATCTCACAGGTCAGGAGGCCCAGGGCTTCTGATTTCTATGATTTTCTTAGTGGTTTAAACCGATTCTCTTGGAACAGAAGCTGACTAGAGTAAAAACTACACACTCCATAAAAGAGCTCACTAAACCAGACCTTGTTTTCATACTAAAAAGAGATGCCAATACTGGTTGTAGTGGCACATGCCTTTGACCCCAGCACTTGGAGGAAGAGGGAGGCAAGTGGATCTCATGAATTCAAGGCTAGCCTGGTCTATATAGCAAGTTCTATACCAGCCAGGGCTACACAGCATGACTTGTTTCAAAAAGAAAAATCGAAGAAAAGAAAGAAATGTACATGTTGATGGTGAAGGTACACATCACTTTGCTTTTAATTGTCTGAGGATTTATTGAATTTTTCTATAAGATATAATGTATTTAACTTTTGAAAAGTAAACTTTGATAGGCTGCTGAGATAGCTCAGGGTAAAGTGCTTGTCTTGCAAGTGAGATGCCTTGGCATTGGTCTCCAGAGCCCACCTGAAGGTGGGAGGAGGGAAGACTCCAGAGTGCTCCTCTGAGCAACTCACGCATCATACACACAATAATAAATGCTTTGTGGAGAAATTAAATGCTTTTATATTGAGCAAAGTTAAGATTCACATTCAAGTGTAAGAAATGATACCAAGATATCCCTGCGTACCCTTTGCTTACAAATGTCACATCTTGCAGAGCTGCAGTACAATGTCACAGCCAGGACATGCCTGGTACAGTGAAGATAGTGCCACTTCCATTTGTCCTCTTTATAGATACCCATATACCACTGCCCGCCAGTCCTGAGAGCCACTCTGTAACTTTGCCATTTTAAGAATGTAGTGTAAATAGACACTTACGGTGTATAACATTTTTGGACATAGATTTTTTTTTCCATTCAGCATAACTCAAAGAGTTTACCCAGTTCTAACAGTAGTTTATCCACCCCTCCCTAAGCTTTTCTTTACATTGTGCCTATTACACACAAGGACCATTGTGCATTTCAGTCCACTCTGTTCCCATCCTCTCCAGCTTACAATCTGTTCCCATAATGCCTCACCCGTGCCAGCCACTGCTCCACCGTGTCTCCGAGTTAACTCCTCAGGCCCCTCACTGAGGTGCAGTCACATAGACAGCACTTGCCCACTTATGGCTCCTTGATTTCAGCAGCATAAGATCCCGAAGCTTCATCAGCATTGCAGTGTGTGTGAGAATTCATGAGTCTCTGTCCTCTCCGTCCCCTGTCCCCTCCCTTCCCTTCTCCGGTCTCTCTTGGAGACTATGTAGTTCAGGCTGACTCTCCCATTTCCTTCTCAGTGCTGGGGTTCCAGGCATCCTTCAACCACACTCAGCAAGTATTCTTGCTTTTTGAAACTGAATGGCATTCCTCTCATCATGTGCATCAGATTTATCTGTTAACGACACCTGGGCAGCAGCATCCGTCTCTGCCTCCTGTGGACACGTAGTGCAGACATCTCTTTTATGCTCTTCTGCTTTCAGTTATTTTGGGTATATCCCCACGTCATTTAGTGACTCTATTTAATTTTCTTGAGGACTGTATTCCACAGTAGTTCTGTGCTTCCATTCCCCTGAGCAGTGAGCAAGGATGGGCTCTCTCCATCTCTTCACCAGTATTTGTTACTTTTCTGCCTGGAGCTGTTATGTCGTCTGCTCTCACTTTTTGCTCTTTCTAGTCCTAGGCGTGGAGCCCAGGCGCTCACTCCCGAGGGCAGATGCTCTGCTACGACTGAGCTGTCTCTCTAGACATTCTTTTCTTTCTTTTCTTTTTGGAGACTGAGTCTCCGTAGACCAGGCTGAATCCACATATCCAGCTCCTTTTTCTTTGCTTCGGCACCAGAGCATCACTTATCTCTAGCTTCACTTTCAAGAATCAAATCTAATAGCTTAATCAAGAAACAGGTCCCGGGTTAAACTGCCCTCTCTCCCGCCTTTCTTTGGTGACATCAGTCCTCTCAGCACTGGCCTGCAGTTCTCACTGGTTCTCACATAGACTAGAGTAGTGCACATAAAAAGGCCTCTGAGCTCTTGGCCAACCCAGCCACAGTTACTTCTTATTTTCAATAACTGCAGTTATTTAACTGGTTGCATAGTCTACAGCCTGTTCCACATCTCTATTTGGCTGTTTGTTGCTAAAATTAGATGTTAGATCTTTGACAAAAAATTATTTAGATCTCTGCAAAGATGAACTCTGTCCTCAGATCCGTTGGCAGAGGCAATTGCTGCCTGCAGGCACAGGGCAGTGGTTATGTGGTCAGGCAATACAGGGGATTTAGAACAGATCTAGAACAAATACATCTGACCCAATTATAAAGTATTTGGGTAGCTTTCAAATTTTGTGGTGAAACGAACCAATATACAGGATATATTTTATTTTCCTACCTGTAATTATGGGAAGAGGAAATTTTAAAATCTAAAAGTGAAACAAAAGCCAGTACTATAATTGTGGAAGGAGGTACAACAGCCACGCCCTGGTGTTTGCTGGAATTCTCGAGATTGGTCTGCTCCTGGGTTTTTTTTTTTTTTTTTTTTTAGTGTGATTATTGACAAGCACATTGTGAAAGTGACCACCTCCTCAGCTACATGTCTTGATCACAGCACAACTGCATGCTGTGCTTTTGTAACACGCATCTAACCTAGGGTGAGTGACTGCTATGCCTGTAACACACATCTAACCCACACGGATCAGACAGGACATGTCCTGTGCTTGTTCTAATGTTTCATATGTTGCTAAGGGTGTTGACACCAGAAGCAAATGTTAAAAGCCTCAGAATCTAGAGTCTCACGTCACTTTACAGGTAACTGCAGATAGAGCAGATTGTGAATTTCCACCATTTATGGGAAGAAGGTAGGGACTGAAAAGTAAGGAAGGGCTTGTCTAAGGGACACTTCCCTAGCATCATGGGGGATGAAGGTGAAAGAAGAGAATGCAGCCTCTTTAGGCTGTGCTATAAACCATATGAGAGGACTTTAGAACCAGGGGGAACTGCATTCGTCGTCTCCCTTGGTGGCTACTATAACTTTGGGCAGGGAGGTGAGCGGTGCATCACAGAGGACAGAAGGGCGAGTGATAGCACCCAGTCATGCTATCCACTGCTGCAGTCAGTGCTGCACAGTGCTGGTGCTCACAGACTAGCACTGTGAGGGCTTGATATAAATTACTGAGTAAGAGCCAGGCATGTTGACTGACACATGCCTGTTATCCCACTGTGGGTAGACACTTGAGGCCCAGGACATAGCAAGTTCATGGCCAGCCTAGGCAGTATAAGACCTTCTGTTCAGCAACAAGGAGAACCAAGAAATGCTTCCTAGTGATCAGTAATTATGCAGTTCACCACTTTTGACCTGGTGATGAGATAAAACATTAAATGCAGGAAAAATATATAGTAGAAGGGTTCTTTAGAAACAGTGCTTCTGCCAGGCTGCTGTGCTCCCTGCTTTCTCATTCTGGTGTTTGAATATGGTTCCAGAACTGCCCACCTTTCCCAAACTGTGTAGCTTGCCAAGTGCAAGCAGTACTCCAAGGCCCGCGTGCCTCCGAGGTGGGTGCTGCTGTCAGGCCTTCTGTTTGCCAGATATGTTGGATACGACTTATGTCAGGTCTCCAATGTTAGATTTGGAACCCCTGACCTCTTACCCAGCTGGGTTAGTGTTCATTTTGTGTTTTGTTTTTTCTCATTTCATCAGTATATCAGAAAAACAAACGAATCATACTGGTGTATAATTAAGTTAATATAAGCAGGTTGTGGCTTTGGAGATGAGCTGTCTTGGGTCAGGTGATGTCTGAGTACTTTGCTCTAACACTTGGAGAACAAGCAGACAGCCAGTATTTAATTTATCCAGACTAGCTTTTCTTTCCAAACTAATTTCATCTTAAAAAAATCAAGCCTATTCTTAACTAAACTAGTTTTGTTTAACATGAAATGAAATGTGTTGTATGTTTTTTGTTGGTTACTAAATGAAAATATACTGAGGAAGTCAGGCAGGACGTTTTTGTGGGTAAAGATGGTCTTCGTGTGATGAGCATGTCTTGCCAAGTTAATACATGAACACTCGTCTATTTAAACTCTTCCGCAGCTGTGCACACAGCCTGTTCCCCCGCTGCCTGGCCACTGTTTCCATGCTTCTAACCTCCTGCTTGTAGGCTTCCTGCTTATTGGATTAGTCACCTTTCTCTTGCTCTTTTTCTATGCTGTTCTTGCCCCTGCTACTCTGCCTAAAACCAGGCCCTAGAGAAACAGAAAGAACACATTGCCTGTCTCAGGAATGAGCGAGATGTGCTCAGAGAGGAGCTGGCTGAGCTGCAGCAGACAGTGAAGACAGCAGAGGTATGTCAGCCTGGCCTTCTTCCCCTCCTCTTGCCTTATTTCTTTTCTGACCATAAATTACAGCCTTGATTTGAGGGTTGATTGAGCTGTTTCCTCCACAGAGGTATGTCATATAACTAATTTCTCACTAGCTTCTACCCATAGCAAACATACATTGTTGCAGAGATGCCGCAATAGAACTTAGTGTCTGTGTGGGTTATTGTTTGTGATACTAAGTTTTTCTTCTCCACAGAAACATGGCTTAGTTATAATCCCAGACAGCACTCCCAACGGTGATGTCAATCATGAGCCTGTGGTTGGAGCCATTACTGCTGTGTCTCAGGAAGCTGCTCAGGTCTTGGAGTCAGCGGGAGAAGGGCCACTAGGTGAGACACTACTTGCTATTTAGTTTTGGATTGATGTCAGCCTTCCAGCTGGGGTCAGGGTAGGTGCGAAGAAGGAATCTGTACACATGGTCCTTAGACATTCTTGATCTTGGGAAAGCAGCAGTGGAGTCTTCATGAGGGAAGCACTGCAGGTTTATACACATCTCCTTTTACTTAAAATAGACTTTGTGTGCCCATCCCGTGGGTAGCTAGCTCAGAGCTGTAGGACTTCTCAGCATAGACTTAGCCTCTTCCTGGCCCACATGGATTCAGATTCTAAGCTTATCCTAGGATGCTGCAGCTCTTTGCCACCACTTTTCATAATGAGAGGTTGATGACGGAAAAGACCACACTGAAGTGTGACTTTCTGAGCACTGCATGCAGTCCTGCTGAGAGTGACCCTGGCCACAAAGGGGCCCAGCTCAAATGTTGCCCTACAATAAATCTTACACTAGAAGGAAAAAAAACAACGCAGATAGATACTGTGTCATCAGTGTACACTTAATTTTTCTCCTTTACCTTGTTTTTGTGTGTATAGTTTTTTTAAGAAATGTGAGGCACTGTAATAACAACATAGGCTGAAATATTGTAAAGTTAGCAGGAATATTGTCTCATGTAGAATTCTAGAAATATAATGCAGTGTGGAGCACTTTGATAAAGGATCCAGATGAGCTAGAGGAGAGATCCTGCAGGCATGGTCACCTTTGACATTTAACATGACATTGTCATTTATAAAGCCCACACTTAAAAAACACTCAAGTTAACCAAACCAAACCAAACCAAACCAAAAATCTTTAAGTCAGTTTACTGTTTTGTTGTTCCCATTCATACTGTTCATAGCCTGATTCTGTAGAGAACTGAAGATCACGATGGGCCAGCCCTCCTGGGTTCCTCCACCTTTGGGAACTGGAACTGACACAGCCAACCTTATTTATTATGGGTTCATTGGCCAGCTGTGAACGGTGGCTTTAGCTGAACTAGTGGTGTTTCCTCAGCATATGGGGTCTGTTCCTGCCCAGGAAGAAGCTGCCCAGGGTATCTGCCCCAAGCTGGAGCCCAGGTTCTGTGTGCTTGAATTTCTTGTGTTCGTCAGTAAGTTAGCCATGGGTTTAAACATCAGTTTAAGCCCACTCCAGCTCTTTGTTTCACCCTGAGGTCTAGAGGACTTCGCTTGCCTGCTCCCACTTAGTAAGGGACCATTAGCCCATGGTCCCTTACTCCACACTCCTGGGTCCCACTCTTGCTTCATAGTTCTACCAAGAGTGGGAGCTTCTAAAGACAACTGGAAAAAGCTTGCACATTTTTGCAACAACAACAACAAAACCTGTTTTCCTCTGGGCCATAGTTTGTCTCTAGGCAGAAAGTCAATGCTCTGGGAACAGATATTTTATTTGATAATTGGAACTATCACTGGCTGGGAGTATGAATAAAGTATTCTTTCTATTGCAATTAAAGCCTTTGTGTCTTTTCATGTTCAGAGTGTAAATAATGAAATTTATTAGCTGTTGGCTATTTGTGAGCACCTTTACAAGTTCAGTTTATAGCCATCCCACTTGTTCCAGATGTGAGGCTACGAAAACTTGCTGGAGAGAAGGATGAGCTGCTGTCACAGGTAAGATGTCTACTCACCTGAAACTATTATTTTATCTAAGATAGGCAATAAAATGCTAACAAATTAGAATGCTCGTTAGAAATGAGAAATAGCTGGGCGAAGTAGTGCTGCATGTCTATAATCTGAGCACTCAGAAGGCAGACGTAGGTGGATCTTTGTGTGTTCAAGGGTAGCCTGATCTACATAGTGAGTTCCAGGACTATAAGTGAGACCCTGTCTTGAAAACAAACACACAAAAAACTGAAAAAAAAAGTTAGAAATATATTTCTAACTTTGGTACTCAAGTGACATTTAAAGGAAGAAAAGATAATTCATGTTTTGTGTCTCAGAAGAGAATGTATAGGATGCGTACACAGCTTGCTGCCCAACCCTTCCACCCCCAGCCTGACCATCTCTATCCTCCTTTAGTTGTCCCTCAGTGTGAGGCACTGACTAGATGATGCTATTCTTTAAAGGACCATCTATTGACATTCCTCTGTGGAAGACAAGCCTCTGCCACACACGTGCAACTTCCTATTCCTGTAGCCTCTTAAAGGCCATTCTGTTTCCATCTGCAGGACTCTGAATGCTGCCTCCTCCTCCTCCTCCTCCTCTTCTTCCTCTTCCTCCTCTTCCAACTCCTCCTTCTCTTCTTCTTCCTCCTCTTCCTTTTCTTCCTCCTCCTCTTCTCCTTTTTTTTTGTGCCATATGCCTATTTTCTTGTGTTTATCACAGAGTTAGCTTATGTTTTGAGCAGGGTTTTTCTGATACACACCAGGGTTCCATCTTGAGCCTCTGACTTAACTCATCCTGGACTATAGAGGCTTCTTCACTCCTGGTGTGCTTGCCCTTCAGGCCTGGGGAGGCTCTGTCTGCGCTGTGGATCAGTGCTCTTTTCTCAGTCTTCCTACATTCCTCTTTCCTTCACTCTTTTGTTGGTATTCCAGTAGTTTTCTGAGAAAGACCATGTGTGCTGTTTAAAAAAATTCTCATACCCTCAAAGGCATATGAAAGTGTCATTTTCCTTAAGCAGTTTCAGAGGCCTAGTTCTTCATTGTCCTGTCTTTGAGGATAGTTGTTGAGAACTGTGAAGGCATAAGCCTGTGAGGTGGCTCAGCAAGTGAGGTGCGTGTTGTGCAAGCCAGATGGCCTGAGGTTAGTCCCTGAAACTCACACAAGGTAGGTGAGGGCTGACTCCACAAGGATGTTTTCTGCCGTGTGCATGTGTGTGTGCGTGTGTGTCTGTATGTACATTTTGAGATTTGATCTCTCATAGGTCATGCTTTCCCCTTCTGTCCTTTTTTCTGTCTCTAGTAGCTTCAAATCTCACAGTTGATGTGTTCAGAAGTTTTCAAGCATCATAGTAGCCCTTCTAGATTCTAGAAAACTCCTAAATTTTGAGTTTGAAAAACTTGAGTGGTTTTATTACTCTTCTCTTAACTCCTATTCAGTCAGTAAGGGAATGGAGAGTGATACTCCATGGTTTAATATATTATTCATGGCATGTGGGAAATTTAGATGAACAGATTGTTGTGGGTTTATCTGAAAAAATCCATGCCCTGGAAGGCCTTAGTAGAAAAGGGTCAAGCAATAGAATTTAGAAGCTGTATCTGAAAAGTTTCCGTGAACACATTTATTATGTGTTTCTCTAGCTGCATTCGTTGTATGATGTAGGCATGTAGTCAAGTTACCAGGGCAAAGGATGTAGTGGATATATAAGACCATAATGGTCATGTTGGACCTAGAAGTTACGCTGGATGGCCAGTGTTGACAGGACATCTAAGTAGAGATCAGGTATAGTTGAAAGAAGATAGATCAATGACTGGAAGTGAATATGGCTGAGGATGTTAGGCTTAGGGTCTAGAGAGAATGAACTGGGAAGTGAGCAGTCATAGTATGTGGAACTAAATAATCCAGGGAGTATGGCTATCTAATGAAGGCAGTTATACATGGCCAAGGGAAAAAGAGGTAAATGGCAGGATCCTTGAAGGGCAGGTATTCAGAAATTGAGGTACGTTATGGGAGCATGCCACTACTCTGGGTGTACATCAAAATGGCAGACTTAAGATAGCAGTAGTTTCCGAGTATAAGTCAGGAGCTAACATGACAGGCACAGCACATTAGTAAAGACACGAGGTACTTAGATATTAGTTTGAACAGATGAGATTAAGAACAGAGACTCCAGGGACTGAGTATAGGCTAGTTCAGCAACAACAAGGAAAGCCTGAGAAGACTATTGCATTTCCATGCTGAGGTAGGCTGTGAAGACATAAGTAGCAGCACTTAGTGGGGCTACAGGAATGGCAGGCGTCTGTGAGAGTACTGAGGTGATAGGTGTTCTCTGAGATGAGGCTGCGGCAGGGGCATGAGCTGGCAGCAGGCTGACGCTTCCAGAGGCACTGGAGAAGTTTGTGGGGTGAGGTTAGGCATGACCAGGGCCTTTGGGGACGCGTGCTGAAGAAGAGGGATGAGCCTTTGATAGAAACGATGTGATAATAACTAAATTCTCTTAAAACAACCCCATGTGTGTGCAAAGGGCAGAGGTGCCTGAGAGGTATACATTCATTGAGTCTGAAATCAGCACTTGCCCTTCCCGTTGGGCTGTGGCAAAGTTACTGCTCAGCCTCCTCTTGATCCCTGGCAGTAGAGTTGAGGCTATTGGGGAAGCCAGCCACTTATGCTTCCAATTATTTTTGTATATTTAAAGGTCTCTAAAAAACTAAAAAAGTCCTAACTGCCCATGAAAAATTTCACTTTAATGAGACTAAGAAAAAAACCAAAGATGTACTTTTGTGTAAACACACACAAGTAATAAAGAATAGAAGTCTTTACTGGAGGATTGGAGTTGGGAGATGGTCTTATCGAACTTGGTGTGCAAGCATATGACCTGAATTTGAATTCCAAGTAGTAGCCAACCATAGCATGTTCTGTAATCCCAGGGAGGTGGACACAGAAGGTTCGCTGGAGCTTGGTAGCTAGTCAGCCTAGCTAAATTGATTAGCTCCAGGTTTGGTGAGAGATCCTAATCTCAAAATAAGATGTGGAACAACTGAGAAAGACATCTGATGGAGGCCAAACTCAAGACAGTTCTCTTCTATCCAGGCCTGGTGACACAGGTCTAAAATCTCAACTTCTTGGGAGGCTGAGGAAAGAGAATCCCAAGTTTAGGGTCTTCCTGGGCTGCAGAGTGAATGCAAAGCCAGCCTGGACAGCTTAGTGAGAGCCTATTTCAAAGTAAAACAGAGGGCTGTGGCTACAGCTCCATGTTAGTATTTGCTTAGCATGCCTGAGGCCCTGGGACTTCACCCCAGTATCACCAAAGAAAGAGATAAAGAAACTGAGTCATAGATCTCTCTGGTGACTTTTACTTTTATTCCAGGTTAGAAAACTGAAGCTCCAGTTAGAGGAAGAACGGCAGAAGTGTTCCAGGAATGACGGCATGTCCGGGGACCTGGCAGGACTGCAGAATGGCTCAGACTTGCAGTTCATCGAGATGCAGAGTAGGTACCAGGGGATTGGCCAGTCTGCACTGGTATGCAGCATGTATCCCTGGAATAGTTGGATATGGGCTGCTGGAGCCCAGGGGAGTGGTTCTGCTCACCTAGGAGCTAAATAAGGGTTATGCTCCCATGTCCCAGGGATGGCATGGACCAGTCACTGCTTGCGTATCACCTCTGACTGAATGCAAAGCCAGCCTGGGCAGCTTAGTGAGAGCCTATTTCAAAGTAAAACAGAGGGCTATGGCTACAGCTGTGTGGGAACGTCTGCCATTTCAGCTTTTGCTTTAGAATTCATCTTGGAAAGTAGATTTAAGATCAGCTTATATTAATGTTGTGTTGTTCCTGCAATTTCCTAGTTTTTAACAAAACTTCATCTTTACATGAAATTAAAGACAAGTCTACAAAATATAGCTTGTTTACTCAAGTTATGCTTCCTTTTCTTTTCTATTTTTAACTCCATCTCATTGGTTTGAGGCAGGGTCTTTTTACATAGTCCTAGCTGGCCTGAAATCACTATGTAGATCAGTTTGGACTAGAATTCAGAGATCTGCCTGCCTTTACTTCTCAAGTGCTGGGATTAAAGGTGTGTGCCACCATGCTTGGCCCATAGTTTTATATGCATTGATGTTTTTTATCTGATGTATGTCTGTGAGAGGGAACCAGATCCTTTGGTATTGGAGTTACAGACAATTGTCAGCTGCCACCTAGGTGTTGGGAATTGAACCAGGGTTTTCTGGAAGAGCATCTCTCTAGCCCATTCTTAAGTCTTCTGTATTCACACTAAATCCCATAGGAGAGTTGTCCTAGCATCCATTTTTATTATAGTTACCCCATTGGCAGTGATAGATAATCTACAGTAGGGGCTTTCAGTTTTCTAATTTGTAGTGGCTTTTCTCATCCTAGACTTTAAAACTGTGGCTAACAATTGGACTTAGGCTGAATGACAGAGTTGGGGGTTTGAAGCTTATTAGTAATAACTTCTGGGGTTAGTATCACTTCCTCTTTCAGACCTCAGGTCCCTCATACTCCTTAGTGAGTAGTCTGTATAGTGGGACAGGGATCTGACAGAATGTAGGAAGGCTGGTTGAGAAGCTGGATGATGAGCCTGACCAGTGCCGTGGACAGTTCCAGACTGCAGAAGTAAGTTGTGAAAGATGGCTAAAGCTGAAGATTCAAAAGGAACCAAATTAAAATGGAACAGGCTAGCGTTTGTGATTGCTTCCTAAAACCAAGTCGCTGTTATTGGTGGGCTTTGCAGGTGAAAGTTAAATGACCTGAGACACTGCCTGGAAGCAGGACTGGCTGCTGAAGAGGAAATGAGTAGCTGCTGGCTCTGAACTGCAGCTTGGCCTGTAGAATGAGCAGGGTTCCAAAACCACACACACATGAAATGAATAGACGTGTACACAGGAAGGAATCAGTGTTTGAAAGTGATAAAGAAGCTGTATATTTTGACAATGAGTTATTGGAGATATGAATGTAAAAACAGGACTATTACTTCCATTGTAAAGCTCATGATGGAATGTTCTCTCCACTCCCAGAGGTAGCCTTGGAGATAGCTGCTTTATCTGTCTTTTGAGATAGCCTCATTGTGCAGCCAGGCTGGCCTCAAACTCATAGTCCACTTGTTTTGGCCTCCCATGTGCTGGGACTTGAGATTACAGGCAGGTGCTATCTCCTGTGGTTCCTGTTGCTTTAAGGTAATAGCACTATCCAACAGCAAAACTGCTTGCACTGAACACTGCATGGCAGGCCTATTGTTCATGTGGAAACAGGACAGTTCTTGGGATGTTTGAATTACTTCTTTTGGTGGGTTAGATATGATTTATGTTCCATAAACTTTGCACTATATAATCATGGAGATGAATGAGTACATCTTATTGAGGCTGGTGAAGACTTGAGTCAGAGTGTGTAGGAGAGCAGAAACTGCCTGGGAGCTGCAAGGTACAGGCTGGGTTCAAAGAAGCAGGGAGCCCAGAGACTGCAGGGGGCATTGCCACCCTGTGAGCTTTCTTTCTCAAAGGTCTGTTTATATGAGCAATGGTTTTTAACTTTCCTAATGATACAGCCCTTTAATACAGTTCCTCATGTTGTGGTGATCCCTCATGTTGTGATGATACCCCAACCATAAAATTATTTCATTGCTATTTCTTAACTGTAACTTTGTCCCTGTTATGAATTGTAATGTAAATATCTGATATACAGGATATCTGATATGTGACCCCTGAAGGGGTCAGACGCAAAGGTTGAGAACTGCTGGTCTAGAGGGAAAGACGGACTTTGCTTCTGACTCTTGGTCTTAGAAATACTGACGAACAGAAATATTGGAGCTTCTTGTTGTACACAGCATCTAGAATCTGAACTGCACTTCCTTTGTGTGCTACTTCACAGCTGCGTCTCTGGAGATGAGTTTAACTCATTATTATCTTCTGTTTTAGGAGATGCCAATAGACAAATTAGTGAATACAAATTCAAGCTTTCAAAAGCAGAACAAGACATAGCTACCTTGGAACAAAGTGTAAGTAGAACTGTAATGCACCGAGTGGTTTAAATGCCACTAAATGAGATCAAATGCCTCTCAGCCTCTTGAATAAAAGTGGCTAGACCTTTGAGTTTCTGTGGGTGCCTTGGCAACTAGATCTTTTCAAAAGCTCTGTTATAGTTGAAAAACTCAGAGAACACCTGGTGGGGTAATCCAGCTTTGCATTTGCTCTAAAGACAAAGGACTGAGGCAGCAAGACATTATAGCACAGACACTTGCTGCTAAATCTAAAGGCCCGAGCCTGATCTCCAAGATACAGTACATGGAGGAGACAACTGGGTCCCACATGTTCTCTTCTTATCCTGTCCTAGTTAGGGTTTCTATTGCTGTGTTGAAACACCATGACCAAATGCAACTTGGGAGTGAAGGGTGGGTTCACACACAGCTCCTCATCAAAAGCAGTGAGGGCTGGAACTGACACAGGACAGGAACCTGGAGGCAGGAGCTGATGCAGAGGCCATGGAGGGGTTCTGCTTACTGGCTTTCCCCTTATGGCTTGCTCAGTCTGCTTTCTTATAGACTCTAGGACCACCAGCCCAGGGATGGCACCCAATCTGATGGGCCCTCCCTCATCAATCATTAATTAAGAAAATACACTACAGACTTGCCTACAGTCCAGACTTATGGGAACATTTTCTCAATTGAAGTTCCCTCCTCTTCAAGTTGACACAAAACAAGCATAGACCTCTTGTGTGCTCACAGTAAATAAATATATGTATTGATTAAAAAAAAAAAGCAAACAGTACTTTACAACTATCATTGTGTTTTGTAGATATTTCTATAGAGGATTTAAAAACAGTCCTTGTTAAGGAAAAAAAAAAACTTTCATATTACATTTCATAAGCCTAAAGACTTAACATGGGAAATCAGCCCTATAGTGAATGACTCTGCCTGCAACTGTCCTCCTCCCTGGGATCCACGGTTGCCCAGTGACACTGCATTTCCATCTTTGCTGTGAGCAGTGGTGGCAAACCCTATATGCCTGTTCGCTCTATTTACAGATCAGCCGGCTTGAGGGGCAGGTGCTGAGGTACAAAACTGCTGCTGAGAACGCTGAGAAAATTGAAGATGAGCTGAAAGCAGAAAGGAGGAAACTACAGCGAGAGGTACTGTGTTAACGTACTTCTTGGAGAACAGATTCCTAAAAAGACAAAAATTTGTGGAAAAATCTCACGCTATCTAAGAAATCTGACTTTAATCAAGTATGGTGGTGCATGCCTTTAATTCCAGCATTCAAGATGCAGAAGAGCAGGTCTATCTCTGTTAGTTTGATGGCAGCTTGGTCTACATAGTAAGTTCCAGGCTGCCACGTCTACATAGTGAGATCCTGGTCTCAAATCCAGGAAGACTTGGTAAACGCATCATGGGGCCACTTGCCCTTCATGCAGGCTTTGGGTCTACACAGTAGCTGCCAGTGACGTTTCTGGTAAAGCAGCAAACAAACAAACAAACAAAAAAGTATTTTTGGGTTTTGCTTCAGATGACATTAAGTTTTGCAGCTTTTACACATTGTGTTGTGGTTTAAACAATTTTCAACACCATTCCTTAGGCCTCTATCGGTCTTAAGGAAGGCGGCAGCTGTTTGGGGACTCCATACATGGCTGTCACTATTAGCACAGCTCCTGTTTCCCAGAAGTGGAAAGGGTTTCTGGGCTTTCTTCTGACCATATAAAGTGACTGTGCCCTTTGTCTCCAGCTACGGACAGCACAGGACAAGATTGAGGAGATGGAGATGACCAACAGCCACCTGGCTAAGCGGCTAGAGAAGATGAAGGCCAACAGGACAGCCCTTCTTGCCCAGCAGTAGGAGGCAGCCCTTCCATCTGGGTGCTGCTCTGAGGGCCTTGCTGGGAGATACTGACTCTTTTGTACATTGACACAAACCCCCTCAAGTACTGTTTTGAGTCTTGTCATTAAACAGCCACCTTTGTATTTTATAATTTATGAGAATGAAGCAGGTTTATGGATTTGGATTTTGTTTGTAGTTCACTTCTACAGTGAGTGCTAGTCTGTGCTGTTTTTATTTTCAACCTTCTAGAATCACGTTTTCTCACCATCTTCTTCCAGCTGCCTCACTGACTAGGCACTTGGGCAGCCTTGCTGTGGGTTCTGGAGGATGGCCATTCTGAGCACTGAGTCACTTGCTGGAGACCTCAAAAACACAAGTGCCTTCTCCACAATGTGATACAGGCTTCAGAGACCCAAGTGGCCAAGATTCCTACTCCTCTTACCAGAGCAATTACATTTCAGTGAGGATGTCTTCAGCAGTGGGGAGTCTGTGTTTCACTCAAATTTGTGTTTGGAGGAAAAAGCCTTTTTTTGTAAGATATTTAAATTTATATAAAAAATGTTAGAAAACATTATGGGGAGTGTATATTAAACTTCATTGCATGGGACAGAGCAAGTCCAAGCCTGTACTCCAAAGAGTAGGGTCCTCAGTCTCCGTACCAACTGTGCTGTTGTGTGTATTCTCATCTGCTGCTTATTTGTGAAATGAAACCTCAGACAAGCTCAAGGGACGAGGGAGGGCAGTGCAGGCAGGTAGGGGACCTGCCTATTAAACACACCTTTCTGCCATCCAGGACTGGCTGCGGGCAGTCGTTAAAGAAGCCTTTAGGACAAGTCATGGCAACCATGTACAGTCCTGTCTTGCTTTTCTTTTCTCAAGATGAGATAATCTGGAGTACAGAACTTTCTTCTACTTTTTTGAGAGAAAGGATCTATGTAGCCCAGGCTGGTCTCCACCTCACAACCATCCTCACTGGGCCTCTTGAGTGCTGGGATTCCAGGCAGGTACTTTCACGCCTGGTTCCAGAATATACAATGCTTAAGAACTTTCATCTTTAAAGGGCCCAGTTCAAGATACCCCTGCCCCTACTGTGACTACTTTATAGGGTTTGTGATTCTCTTTTGTCAGAATCAAGGTGGTTTCATGGGAATGATTACTGTAGCTTGAAGTGTTTACAAAGAAACTATACTGAGGAAAAATCTAATGAATTAAAGCCTCTTAATAAATCTAGCCTTGGAACTAGATAATAAAATTAACTCACAAGTGAATGATAGTTGTCCCTTATTTAGAGTCAATGGCCCTTCATTTTTAGAATATGGAAATTACATCCTGAGCTGAGAAGATCCTGTGCATCTTCTAATAGGAGCAACAGCTGTTTAAGGGTAGGGCAGGAGTGCAGATCCGTCTTAACATCTCTCAGCTACAAGCAGGTTATCCAGCTTTTCATACCTGGAAGGAACCTCTTCCTTTCCACTGATGTCACTCAGCCTATATCCCTCCTGGGCTCCCAAACTTTCCCTCTGAGGAGCCCTGCCTGGCCCTTGCCCTTGTTTTAGTCTTTTCAATTGAAATGGCTCTATTTCTTCACTAAGATAAATTGTTTTCTTTGGAACCTTCTTCATTGCATCCTGTGGTCTGTATTTTACTTTAAAATCCTGGGCATTTGTCTTTGGGCTGAGTGTTGTATTTTTGCTGAGGAAGGCTGATAGTAAGGTAGCTTGTTTGGGCACTGAATAATGTATATTTTTATTATTGGTTTTAGAGAAAAAGCCTTGGCTAACTCCCAATGAACTAGATTTGACCACCCACCCCAGCAAGTTACCACAGTTGAATAGTGAAGCTATTTCATATGGTCATGTTAGGAGGAAGAGACAAAAAGGTCTCAGAATCTCAAATTAATTTTCCAAGTGTTAACTGTTCAAAAGAAGGAAGAAAGGAGATAGCTAGCTGAGGTGTGTATTGCTGATGAAGGAAGTTGTCTTGGCCAGGCCAGTGGTCTGACAGGTAATTCAGTTCAGGTCCTATGAAAGGCTCTGGAGAAGTGGTTGCCAATATCTCTTGATAGTTTCTATGACAATTATTTCCCTCTTCAAGTGTAGGCTCATCATTGTGGGGAGTTTCTCATTCTGAGGGATAATCTGTCCTGTGAGTGTTATCTGGGAGGAACTTTGGTCCCTCGTCATAGAGATAATTTCTCACTAGTCCTGTTAGTCCTCAATTCCAAAGTAACTCCAAAACAGAATGACTCAGGAGGGAAAAAAAGATAGCCAGAGAATAGCAAAGTAGTTGCTGAGGCCACTGACTTTTTTTTTGTTTCCCCAAGATCTTCCAAACAAGAATGCAGAGAAGCATGTTTACAGCCACTAAGTGGGCTAACTTAACTCTTGCCAGTTAAAAGACTGGGCAAGGGTGGTTTTAAGTTTTGTCCCTAGTAATTAATTAGCTTTGATTATCAATAGTAACAGAGTCTCACTCTAGTCAATACCAACCAACAGTCTTACATACCAAGTTTTAACTAACTTTTTTCTCATTGTTGACCAAACACTGTACAAGTCGGGATGGATGGATTTATTCTGACTCACAATTTTTTTTTTTTGTTTTTGTTTTTTTTTTTTTTGCTTTCTTTTTTATTTATTTATTTTTTTTATTTCTTTTTTTGAACATGAAATGCTTTTTTATAGCATGTTTTACAAGGGGAGGGGGTAAGAGGGTCCAGGTGGTGGAAAAGTACAAAATCTTCTTGGCCTGTGCCTTGAAACATGTCATGGTCTATATGGTACACTGCCTTGAATTATGATCTACCTGCAGTTCTTCAGAAGATATGGTACACTGCTTGAGTTATGGTCTCCCTGCTATTCTTAAGAAGACATGGTACTCTGCTTTGAGTCTATCTGCAGTTGCTAAGCAGGATCTTGCAGTTGCCAAGCTTCAGAGGACATTGTGCAGGTGGGGAAAGGTAGGGGGTAAGGGTAAGGGCGAGGGTCCTGGCTTCTGGCATCTCCCCCTTCTCTGTTTAGTTAGAGAAGGCGTCTTATGTTCAATCCCAACTATGTGAGTTTTGAATTTGGATGTCTAATTATGGGGGGTCTTAGACAAGTTCACAACCCCAAAATACTGATGTGAGACGAGTCACATCGATGGTCGAAGGCTTTAGGCTGTCGACGATGGGCAACGTCAAGGGACTCTGATGTGGGTGAAAGGAGGGTGAGAGCCCTGTCTTAGGCCATGTAGGCTGCACCCACTCCCAGCACCACGCACTCCTTTTCGGCTGCATTGGGTGGGCCCCTGGGAAGTGGACCTACAATAATCCCGTCATTGGGCTAACTCACAGCCATCCTAGACTCTTGTAAATGTTCAAGTTACCAACCATTTGTCAGTTTGGGGTGTAATATTGTCATAAAGGAAGGCTCCCCAATGTTAGCGGCCATATCAAGGGTGGCCTTGGTTTAGGAAAAAGCCAATTTTTGCTGACTCACAATTTAAGAGTAGAGTCTATCGTGAATGACAGAGAAGGTGTGGCAGAGCTCACGGGAAAGATTTGGCAGATGGTTTTCAAGCAGAAAACCCAAACCACTTTACATAGCATTCTGGTCACACTTTTCAAGTGAATTTGCATATATACATGCTGAAGCTTTGGTGAGAGGAATCTTGACACCCAAGTCACCTTTGCCATTGCCCAGTACACAGTTTAAGGTCTCTCTCTAGCTGTGCTCATCTCTTTGTCTGCACTCTCCTTTTCTGCAACTTTAAACGTGTTCATCCTCCTTGTTCTTGATTTTTTTTTTGATTTTGATTTTTGATTTTTTGGACTGCCTATTTTTCATCTTATCTATTTTAAATTGTCATTACCAACCTCAATAAACACAGTGATAATCATGCCACCACCCAAAGGTTAAGCTGTCTTGAAACTGCCTCTGCCAAACAACTTAATTCATTACCGTCAGTCAGCCTTACTCAAGGTCAGAGAAAAGGCAGAGGCTGGCCTTCACCAGATCCCACTCCCGTCCTTGTTCTCATTCTCAATCCACATGAGCCATGCCCTTCACTGGCTGCATTTCTCCTAAACCCCCACAGAATCGTCCATTAAGTTCTGTTTACAATATTCCAAAGCTCCCCTAGCCTGAACTCCCAACTTTCCCACATCCCTTTTGTAAACCTGGAGTCTTGGTACTAGGTCCACCTTGGAAGGCAAAGATGTAAGAGTCTGACGGCAGCATCAGGATGGGTACAGGCAGGTGTGGACTTTTTCTTGCAGTCTTCTCATACCCAGACTATTAGAAGTGGTTCCTGTTGCCCAACTGGAGGATAAGCCTTCCCCAACCAGTTATCTGCTCAGGAGGCACTCACAGACATGCCCAACCAAGCATCTTTCCTAGGTACTCTAAATCCAGTCAACTGACAAGACTGCCATATGTGCTCTAGACTTTTTCTTCTTCTTCTTTTTTTTTTTTTTTTTTTTTTTTTGTCTCGCTGTGTAGTCTCAATTTGCTTAGAACTCACTCTGTAGCCCTGGCTGGCCTCAAGCACGTAGATCCACCTGTCTCTGCCTCCCAAGTGCTGGGATCAAGACATGCACAGTGTCTGGCCTTGTTTTTTTTTTTTGTTTTGTTTTGTTTTTAAAGTAAAACTGGAGTTAAAAAAGTTTTAAGATGGATTTAATTAAGCCTGAACATTGAGGGATGGGATGCAGGAAACCTAAGACATGGACGTGGACTTCTCAAAAATTGCTGTCCCAGGGCTTCTTTTAAAGGAATCTGAGCTGACGAAGCTTGGTATCTGACAGCAGATTTCTAGAGCACAAACATCAGAACATGATTTGGGGAAACTTCAAGAGTTTTTTAAAGAGTGTGTGTAGAAACGCCTCCTCAGGGCCCAGGGATTTTCAAACTTCTTTTTGGATCTTCAACTCTAAGACCCAGTATATACTAGGTGAAAATCATCTTAGAAAGTTTTCCAATGTGCAGTTATATGAAATCATATCAACACATGTGAGTTTATTTGCAGCCAATCCACAGGTGAAGTGCATTAAGTTGTAGCACCAACAATGGGATACAGAGCAAGAGCAGAGTGAGTACTGGAAACCAAGTGTCCTGTTCTATGGCTTCACCTTGGATGGCCATGCAGTCTCTATGGTGACTATGATTGTATTTAACACCTCTCAAAGACTTTGTATAGATCTGGCAGGTTGGCAAGCTGCAGGACATTGCCATCTTCTGTGAAATGCTTCGGAGGTAGAAGGTGTGAGCGGAAGGCTTTATAGATAATGTGTTCCACAGTCCACTTCCAGGGCTTTGAAGTGGAGCCAGGCATGTCACTCTGGAAAATACACGAAATGCCACTTAGCTCCCCACATAATGTCACACACTGACACTGGAAGGTCTCAGGGTTAAGTAATGGGTTCGCTGTCCAATGCTTATAAAGCAGCTTCTGCAGGACAGTCTTGAGATCCCATAGGTCTGAGCAGAAGCAGCAATGTTTGTGAGGAAGCAAAAGGAAGCGATATTTTGAGGAAGCATGGCCTATGGAAGACATCTTTGTCTCCACAGCAAGCCTGGGATGTCTTAAAGTAGTGCTGGTCTGCCACCTCATGGTGGGTAAAGTTGCCTCCCCATTGCTCTCTGTCAGCCTTGGATGCCTCACATAAAAATGTTCTTTCCCACCCTCTGGTTCCTGTTAAATCAGCTCAGACCTTTGTGGGTTTCACCTTCCCCACAGGATGAGAGTTCCTGGGGCTTCAGTCTGGAACCAAGGCTAACTTATGTTCACCACTGTAAAGCCCTGAAAATCCTCCTTCTGAAATGTGAGTGAACACTCTTATCAGAAAATAGTGACAAGCAGTAGAACCACCAGGCTCTCTGTTTTCAGGCTGGCCTATGAGAGGGATTTTAGAGACTGTCTTCCTAGTAAGGAAGGCAGAGGTCAGGTGCAAAGTAGGGAGAAACAGGTAGACTGAGGGCTGGACTAGAATCTGAAGACTTTGGTTTAAGTGCTAACGGTGGTATCTACAGAGCTGCTGGCTTAGAACACTCTGGCCTAACATCTCCTTTTCACTCTGATATCATATGCATCACTGTATCTGACAGGTTCTTAGATCATTCTGGAAGTCTATATTCTAGTCCAGCAGAAAGAAAGAATGTTCATGAATAAAAGCTGATCACTGTAAAAAGTTGGGTGTGCTGGTACACACTGTACCCCAGCACTGAGGAGGCTGAAGCAGGGGTTCAAAGCTAACAGTAATCATATGCAAATTCCTGGACTGTTGTTTGAATTTTTCAATATAAAGAGAACGGATAGGATTAGACATGATTTAAGTCCCATACCCTAAGTACAAGAGACCTGCCCCAGTCCTGGATGCCAGTGTACATTAATTTCCACAGTACCTGCTGGCCTGAGAGGGTTGACTCCTCCAGTATATACTGCTTCCGAATGGAGTAAAACATAGCACATTCCTTACTGAGACTTTCAAAACACGCCTTTTCTTCATCCCAGTTCACCTGGTCAACAGAATTCAATACAAGACAAGCATCAATCCAGTGCTTTAACATTTCATTTCTAAACAGTTCACAGATTTAATAGGTAAAAAGAAACATGGCTTTTCTGGTACTAATACCTGACTTGTAAGTATTGCTGGGATGACTAGGGGGGTGGGTTGATGGAGCCCTCAGTGGTGGTTTTTTTTTTTTAAACTTTTTGATTCCAAATCCTCCAGTGTACACACACACACACACACACACACACACACACACACACACACACACACACTGCTTAGCATCTGCTGCTATGTACCTCAGTGGCCAGTCGAAGAATGAAGATAGGCAGTCCCTCCAAAGGTGGTACATAGCTATCAATCAGAAGAGGTAATCCAATCAGGTTCCCTTCCTGTTTGTGGGGAAAAGGCCAAGAAAAGAGGGTAAGAAATAATGGCACTAGAGCTGATAGGTTTCATTTCTCTGGTGCTTCTCCAAGCCTTGTCCTGCAGGCTGTAGGGTGGACACTGTGAGCTGACAGGCAAGCATTTAAAAAGAGCCTGTGGTTGAGAACAACTCTTCCTTCTGGATCTGCTTGCAAATGTCAGGACAGGAAGCCCAAAAGAACAAGAGTAAGAGGAAGAAATGGAGCGAGTGTCAGAGTTTCCTTTACTCTGTGGCCTGCAAGGACAAGGATTCAGCTTTCCCTCTGGGAGAGTCTTTCATCCTGGGAACAAGAACAGCAGGATGGATGGAACAGCATGGCTGTGTGATCTCCAGTGCAAATGAGAAATGGAGAAAATACCATGTATGATAGATACATGTTGCTTCTGAGGGGAAGCCAGCCTTTTTGTCTCAACCTAGGCACTTGACTCTTATCTGAAAAATAACTCCAAATGACCCTGCCTACCTCATCAATTTAAAGATGGCTCAAAGGCATTCAGATGGCCCTACCCACCTCATCGATTTCCACAGAGAAATAGTCTGCAAGCATCTCAGCTTTCTTCTTCAGAAACTCAACAATGTATTCTGCAAGTCCTTCCTTCGGGCCATCTTCCTCTGTCCAGCCACTTTCAGGACTGTCTAAGGCCAGCATGGCGAGCTCAAAGAGTGGTGCTGGTTCCTGGGAAGGAGAAAGAATGTAGGGATCAGGTGGGAAGCTTAAGCCTGTCAGACCAAACTCGGTCCAGATAGAGAGCATCAACAGAGACAGAATGGCCCCTCATCAATGCTGGGTTCAGTATCCCCATTCTTAACAGCAGGACAAGTAGACAAGTCATTATGGTGACAATCAAGTTGAGTACCACAATGAGTGTGATACATGTGACATTTATAAACAATCCTAACAAGGTAAGAATATAATTTTTTTCAGATGACAACACATGCTTTAAGCCATGAAAAAAGTCTTAGCAAGTGTGAACACTCATGATTATCTTTCAACTAAGCTAGAATTAAAGTAGAAATCAGTTACAGGTTTCTGGAAAATCTCCAGGAGGCTTGCCCCCAAATGATGGAGCTCTAAATACAAACAGCCTAGTCTACCTGGAGAGCTCCAGGCACTAGTGAGACATCCTGTCTCAAAGACAAAATGTCAAAAAACAAAATGAAGTGATGTTCCCTGGGAAACAACACCTGACACTATCCTGGCCTCCACACATGAACAACACCTCACACTGTCCTCTGGTCTCCACACGTGAACAACACCTCACACTGTCCTCTGGTCTCCACACGTGAACAACACCTCACACTGTCCTCTGGTCTCCACACATGAACAACACCTCACATTGTCCTCTGGCCTCCACACGTGAACAACACCTGACACTGTCCTCTGGCCTCCACACGTGAACAACACCTGACACTGTCCTCTGGCCTCCACATGTGAACAACACCTCACACTGTGCTCTGACCTCCACACATGAACAACACCTGACACTGTCCTCTGGTCTCTACACATGAACAACACCTCACACTGTGCTCTGGCCTCCACACGTGAACAACACCTGACACTGTCCTCTGGTCTCCACACATGAACAATGCCTGACACTGTCCTCTGGCCTCCACACGTGAACAACACCTGACCCTGTGCTCTGGTCTCCACACGTGAACAACACCTCACACTGTGCTCTGGTCTCCACACATGAACAATACCTGACACTGTCCTCTGGCCTCCACACGTGAACAACACCTCACACTGTCCTCTGGCCTCCACATACGAACAAAAGAGACAACCTAAAACCTTTCACAGCAAGAACTTGAATCTTAATACAAATTTCTTATCACTCAATCTTCACACCCAGACTGTTCTAAACAATAAGTAAATAATAACAACCCTACAAAACTTTTCCAGAAAAACGGCAAAGGAGAGCTTACAACTCCTCTGAGGTCCACATTATCTTCTACTAAAACAACTCATAGTAACACTCATGAACAAAGACACAAAACTCATAAATACAACTTTAGGAAATGATGCCTGGGAACGTAACTAAGCACAGTTCACACCAGGAGTGCAAGATTGGCTTAACTCAACATAGCAACTAGTTGATGTATTTCACCATATTAATAGTCTAAAAATTAAAACTCTTATCTTAGAGGAAGAAAAAGCATTTGAAAAAATTTCAATGTCTATTACTAAAATTAAAAAGGAAAAAAGAATTTCCCCAACTTCCTAAGGACACCCACAAAAATTTGCTCCCAGCCACTAGCATACTCAACAGTGTGATCCAGTCCCTCAAGATCAGAACAAGAGAAAGGTCTCCATTCCTGCCACTGTAGTTAGCCCCAGATTGCTAGCTGTGAAGACAAAGGGTGGGCATCCCAACTAGGCGTGAAGAAGGACAACTGCCTTTAGTTCAATATAATAACCCTTTATGTAGAAAAACAGACATTCCTAACAAATCTTAGAAAGTTAACATTCTGCTGAATAGGATATGACCATATAGTTCATATTCTGAGAAATGATCAGGTGCAGTTTCAAAAGTGAGGAGGAGAGAAACTTACCGACAACCTCAGAACACCAAAGTTGGCAAAATCATAAATGAGTATCTGGTAGAACAGCTCTTCACTGAAAGTAAGAATTAAAGATTTTAAGAAAAATGAATCTGTGCCTGAAGCCGAGCAGTAAGGGCAGAGCGGGACAAGAATGCTGCTGCCTGGCTAAGGAGGTCCTCCTAAAAGGACTGGGATTCCTAGTGTTGACTCCTGCCAGGACTCTGCAGCCATCTTTCCCAGACAAGTTCAAATGCTAAACCTGGCTCATCTCCTCCCTAGTGCTGTAAAAGGTTTCAAACACAGGCAATCAAATTTAAGACACTGATTACCATTCCCCCAGTTAAGGAAGAGACAATTCAACCACTCACCACCATTGGGTGGAGTATTTGCCTAGCATATGAAGGCCTAGGCTCTACCCTCAGCACCACAGAAACAGTGTGGAGGTGAAAACGTTTATGGAGCACAGGAAGGGCAGTGTTTTCCTGAATTATCAGAAGGCAGAATTATCCTGCACTGACTGGGGGTTGGGGGAGTAGGAGAAAAGGTCTTGCTATGTAGCCTGATCTGGAACTTACACTCATTCTTTACCTATGCCTCACAAGGGCTGGACTGCAGGTGCTTGCCCCATGTCATGGTTTGAATATGCATGGCCCAGGGAGTGGTACTATTTGGAGGTGTGGCCATGTTGGAGGAGGTGTGTCACTGTGGGTGTGGGCTTTAAGACCCTCATCCTAGCTGTCTGGAAGTCAGTCTTCCACCAGTAGCCTTCAGATGAAGATGCAGAAGTCTCAGCTCTGCCTGCACCATGCCTGCCTGAATGCTGACATGCTCTGGCCTTGATGATACTGGACTGAACCTCTGGACCTGTAAGCCAGCCCCAATTCTATGTTGTCCTTATAATGTTACCTTGGTCATGGTGTCTGTTCACAGCAGTAAGACCCTAACTAAGACACCCCACGTCTGGAAGTGCATTGATATTTGAGTTAGTATGTTGCACTGGCTACAATAATCCAAGAACAGCTATTAAGTAGGCATACTGAATTACTAATTGAAACCACATGTTCTTCCTCATATGCAAATCCTAGCCTATAGTATAAATATGTAAACAAAGTACATGTGGGTGCAGTTTAGCATGGAGAAAGAACTAAGAAGACTAAATATTAGGGACAAGAAGAGACTAGACCCAGGTAGATGGCACGAGCCGTGAAAGAGGGCATGGAGCTCACTGGTTCCTTCTTCCATATTATCCCCATCTGGGTTTGCTACACTAAATCATTTTGGATTTCAGATTAGGGATGTCATGTCAGTAAGACGTTGCAGTCTGGGTTCTAGCCTTGGCTGCTACTGTGAGATCAAAGAAGCTGCACATAGGTGAGCTGTGGAGACATGCAAGTCAGACACGCGCACAAACACACACACACACACACACACACTAGAAAAGCCAAAGCTGGGAGAGAAGAATTCCCAACCCCCCAGCTCATGAACACTGTTGTGATTGGAATACCAACACTATACCACAGGGTGCAACGAACAGAGCAAGGCTGTAAGGGCAGAACTAGCCGTGGCCTGAGCTCCCTGCTCCTGCACCGCTGAGGTCATGAGCCCATGGACTCATGCTCTACCCATGGCAGCCAGGAGGCACTTCACCACAATGCCTTTCCCACCACGACAGACTGCATCTCCTCAAAAATGGAGCCCAGGTAAACTTATCCTCCCGCGAGTTGCTTCTCACCGTATATTTGGTCATAGAAATGAGAGAGCTAACAAGCTGAATGCGCAATGGGACTCAGCACTAGGCCCTAAAGGAAATCAGCCTCATTTCCAGAGCAGGTACCAAACCACTAGTGAGCTTTAGGACGGGGGCTGCTTCTAGATTAGAGAAAGCAAAGAAATTTGTAGTTCATGTACCATGTCCATGCAGTGTACAGTGTCTGTTCTATTTAGAAGACCAAGAAGTACCCCGAGGTCACAGAAAGACTTAGGAGTCCCAAGTAGATAAATGATAGTGGACACAAGGCGGTGGCATCCTCCCATATACCCATCCATTCTAGGACATATTTATTGCAAGCTCTAGATGCACTAGATCTAAATAAAGTCCCTGGAAACAGTGAAGATCTGAACAGGGTAAACGGCACTACTGGGCTTGCCCTTCCTATGTTGTGCAACACTCTGACTTTTGTGGCTAGAAGAGAAGCCTGTGCTGCACTCCCATGCCAGGGAGAGGCACGGGCTTCCTTTTACTGCCTCTCCACAACTCTGCTGCACAGAAGAGACACCAGATCTCTAACAGCACAAAGCCCTCAACATCTAGTCTTTAGCCAGTGTTTACAGAGTGCTAAGCTAAGAGTTGGGCTTCTCAAGTTATTTATCCCCACAAAATTCCAATCAAATTGAGGCTTACTAACCTATGTATAGGTTAGATACATAAAATACAGAATAGAAATGTCCCATCATGTAAATGGGAAAAGGTCAACCCTGGATTTGAACTCACATCTGTGACTTTCAAGACTATATCCTTTCCAGCCACTTCACCTGCACCTCCACCCTCCAGCACTGGTACCTATCTTCAGAGATTGCTATTCTGGTGGCTCTGCTGCTTTCACACATAGATTTACCTGAGCTTGGTAGTGTTGAGGAGGTACAGCTTGGTCTGGTGCTGTGCCAAGGCCCACTGAGGATTCACACAGCCCACAAAGGAATGGTTACGGAGCATCTCCCGGAGAGCTAGAAACAGACAAAACCATGTGAGTAATGGAATCATACTAAAGACCTCTTATACCTCAAGCACCGCACAAGCAAAGATGCATCAACTAGGTCTTGTTGAAAGAAACCAAATACGGAATGACATACAATCCACCTCTTAAAATGCTAAAAGGGAAAGATTTATACAATCTGAATAGAAACCAGACCTACAGAGTCAACTAACTAGGACCATGGGGCCTCACAGAGCCTGGGCCAACAACTAGGGAACATGTAGGAGCTGGACTTAGACCCCCTAACATCTGTGGCAAATGGACAAGTTGGTCTTCATGTGGGTCCCCTAACAAGTCAGGAAGGGCCATTTCAGTGTTTGTTCCCTGCCATTGGACCCCTTTCCCCCTATCTCGAATGCCTGATTGGGCCTCAGTGGGAGAGGATGTGCCTAGTCCTGCTGGGACTGGAAGGATTCGTAAGGGTGGGACTGGGAAGAGAAGGGAGGGGTGCTGTGACGGGGATGTAAACTGAATTAAAAACAAACAAACAAAAAAAGATGCTAAAAGGTTAAGAGTCAAAAGGAAAGGCAAAGTGGGAAGGCAGAGATGTGACAGGAAGCCAGCTTTGCCCAAGAGTGCAAGGCTTCTGCAGAGTGGGCACATCAGCATTACAGGCTGTGGCAGTGTACAAAAGACAAGGTAAGAACCGTGTGGAGTGGGGAGCCTGACAAATCAGTGCCCACTGCTGGAGCTGAGACTCCAAGAACTGCACCCCTCACATAAAGGGAAGCATTACCCATGTCTATTCAACCACCTGCCATCTTTGTGTTGACAGTAAAGAAAGGAGAGAAGTCCTTGACATCCTGAGTGCAGTCACCAGCTTATCCTCGAATGATTTAAAGGTGGGTTACCTGAGAACCTATTGGAGAGTTTTGGGTTAAACTAATAGCAGGCTCCAAGTAATTCCAGAAGATAAAGTACTAATAAGTAGCAGCTGTGTGAGTGTGAGTGCGTATATGTGTATGTGTGGTATGAATGTATGGTGCTTAAGTGTGTGTGTTGTGTGAGAATGTGTGTGTGTTATTATAAAAGAAAAACAAGGACCCAAGCATCAGAGTGAGAACCAAGCACAGAAGACTTGCAAGGCCTGCAGACTGGAGACAGAGCAGAGAACAGGAGCATGGTCAGTGCTGAGGGTCTGAGCTATTTCTGAGCAGGACACGACTGCAAATGTCAAGTACATCTCAGAAGACTGGGTAGGACTTCTTAATGCAGAGAACTGATTGCTGCTGAAACAAAGGCAGACAACACACTAGACAATGTCAGTGGGCCCATAGACATTCTCACACTTCAGCCCAGAAAGGCAAAGAGAAGACATGAGGACAAAAGAACACTTAAATGAACTCAGAAAGAAAACAGGGATGACCATGAGTATTAAAAACATGATTCATGGATCAATTTTCAACAGTAGAAATCATAAAATAAGATTGCTACCTTCAGCCGGGCAGTGGTGGCGCACGCCTTTAATCCCAGCACTTGGGAGGCAGAGGCAGGCAGATTTCTGAGTTCGAGGCCAGCCTGGTCTACAGAGTGAGTTCCAGGACAGCCAGGGCTATACAGAGAAACCTTGTCTCCAAAAACAAAAACAAAACAAAACAAAAAAAGATTGCTACCTTCAATACCCAAGAAAAACCATTATCAACCTGGAGTTTTAAGGAAACGTGAATTTGAGGAAACAGAACTCAACTTGTCACTGCTGCTCTGATGTGCTTGTGAAAGTTCATTGTGGTATACATTCTGCAACGATGTCCCTCACAGAGCCTTGCTGTCTTCATCTATGGAATGAGCAACAGTGACTCCCCCCTCTCCACTGGAAACTCCATGTCTTTACAGGATGGTCTATGTAGGCAGAAATGACTGTTTTTAAAGCTGACAAACATCAAGTAATCTGGACTACTGGCCCACCTGAAACGAGGTCAGAGTTTCCAAGAGGAACACTCATGGCCTTCTCTACCCATCTCCAGCTACTGGCGTGCGACTCGGCTAGCAGGAGAGCAGACTCCAGGTGTGCTGGTCCAGCACAGGTCCTTTTTCACAGGACTTCAAGGACTGCATTTTACCCCACCTGACACACTCCTCTAGCCTCAGTTTCTCCTATGTGCTTTCCTCCATTCTACAAAGACCAAAACAGACAAAAAATCCTTCTTTTATGTCAAAGCTAAACCATATATAACTTACTTCAAAATTGAGACTGTGGGTCTTGACATATTCTCAGCACCAATAAATAAAGCTCATCTAAGGAGGAGTCCTAATGTAGAGCCCCATTCCCCACTGGACTGTTTGAGAGCCTCTGCCACTGCCTGAAGTAATAGATGCACTCACTCAGCCCCTCACGTCTCAGGGGGCTCAGTAGGGTATTGCTTATTTGCCTTTCTCTCTGGCATAGGGCTTCTTTCACTCTGCCTGATGGAAAAGCAGGATTCACTAAACAATCTGTGCCAACCCCATGTCCCTCACCTACCACCACAAGTAGGGGCAAGGCACTGCATAGCATATAACTGATAGCATGCTACAAGTAACCAGCTGAAGGTAGCTCAACAGTCCCTGCGATTAGGTTAATAGTGTCAACTTCTGATCCAAGACAGAATATTTACCAAAGATCAATGGGCCGACCTGACTTCACATTTTAATATCAAGTGATCCTACCCACAGAGCCACTGCCAGTACAATTCACTATGCTTAGCTCTTCTTGGTTGTCTTTTGGTTTGTTTCATTTTTTATTTTGTTGTTTGTTTGTTTGCTTGTTTGTTTTCACATGAAGTCTCACTATGTTGTCCAGACTAGCCTAGAATTCCTAGGCTGAAGTGATCCTCCTGCCTCAGTTTTCAGAGTGGTAGGGACTAAATGCAAGGTCAAGCTTGCCAGGCCAATTTTAGATTGTTCAGATGTTCCATGAAATTTGTTCTATTTTCACTTCCTAATCTCTAAAACAGGAGGGGGAACATGTTGTCTCTCCAGAGACTACCTGAGAATTAAGTGAGGCAGCGTGCATGAATGAATGAGTGTGTGTGTGTGTCATTTAGAGCCATCATCTCAGCCTCAGCATGACTCTAGGCCTGACCACACTGATAGACAATTTTAACCTGCACTGAAAACAGCCTATTAGTGGAAAACATCATTGGAATTGTCCTCACTGACCTCCGAGGATAAGGAAGATTATTGTAAAAACTACTAAAGAGGGCTGCTAAATAAATCAGACAACACCTCACCTTTCTTCTAGGACTTAAAGAGCTCCCAGCTTGGAAGATAATACAAGAAAAGAACAACCGCAGCACATTTCATGGAAATAAAAATCAGAAGCCAACTGGCAACATGTACCGTGGGCAGAAGCCCAGTCACAGGAAGGTGTGGTGCACTGCATGTTACATGCCAGAGTGACAGAGAGGTGGGGTGGAGGAGACAAAGACAGACTGACAGACATGAAGCAATGTATGAAGACAAAGTTGGGCCCTTCCTGTGTTAGCTCAGATGCTGGTGACTGAGACAGGAAGTGAAGAGGCTGACACAGAGCAGCTATGTGAGGAGGTTCAGGGTTAGAGGAGACAGCAGGGATTTGTTCCTGAGCATTACAGTCTCTTCAAAAATTAATCCAGGAGGCAGGTGTGGTGCAGAGCCCTGCAATCCCACTCTAGCATGCAGGAGCAGAGCTGAGAACCCAGGCCCATGTGGGCTACCCTGAGCCCTTGGCCAGCCTGAGCTGATAATGAAACCGTCTCAAACAAGGTGATTACGACCCAGATGGTCATAATTTATAGTCTATAAAAATATTGAAATTGATTTATTCTCTCTCTCCCTCCTTCTCTCCCTCCCTTCCTCCTGCACCCCCCACCCCATGTGTGTATGTATGTGTGTGTGTGTGTGTGTGTGTGTGTGTGGTCATGCATGTGCCACAGGACACATGTGAAAATTAGAGGACAACTTTCAGTTCTCTTTCTACTATGTGGGTCCCAAGGGTCAAACTCAGGTTGTCAAGCCTTGTGGTGAGTGCAAAACTCATGGGTAAAAACCCATGGAGCCATGCTGTAGGCTTTAGGGCTTATTCCTGACAGATGAAACCAGAAAAGTCATGACTGGATGACAGCCTCAAGCAGAGCTGCCATCTGGAGCCTGCACGCTGCCCTACACTAGAACAGTAATACCTCCTAAGGTGTGGGCAGTCTCCTTACACACCTGCTTACACCCCCGACCCCATCCTCCTAAAATCATTCAGCTAGTTTTCGAGTAACAGGGACCAGGATAAAGTTTGGCACCTAACTATTCTCAAAAGCTATTTCTGAGGATGACAGGGACTTACCAGCCTTCAGGATATAGAAATATCCCATGTTTTTAACAAGTGTTTTATTAGTTTCTTCTAATTAGTCTGGTAATCTTCTAGGACAAATCAGTATTGCTTTCTGAGGCACAAAACAGCTGAGTTACAGAGTGAGGTAACACAGTGGAAATGGAGTCCAGGCCCTGTCACCCCCAGCTATGCACACCCCTGTCTGGTAGGATAAGGACTTTGCTGCTCACTCACAATGCTGCTTTTAGCAATAACAGAAAAAAGCAGAAATTTCTGCAATGACATTTGTAGTTAACCCCTTCTGTTAATAGAAAAAAAAAACAGATAATTCTGCTTAAAATCAATAATCATTTCCCCCTTCTCTTCCTCTAGAGAACTGTCTTCTGTATAAGGGAAACGAGCTCTCCCGTGCAGCATATGGCCACGCCCACCCGACAACCTGGGTGCTTTCTGTATTTCCAAAGCCCTCACTCAGCGCCAGGCAGATCTCAGCACTTACGTACTCTCATGGCCCCGCTCATTAATTTCTTCCTGGAGACTCAAAACACTGGTGAGGTTAATTATCCTCCTCCGAGGGTAGCAAGCAGCTGTCATTTCCTTCTGGGAATCATCTTCCAGCATCTCCACATCGGAGTCCTCCCGATGTCTCTTTCTGCAGTGAAGAAAAGAACTGACAGGTCATTATTCTTCTGTTTTATTTTTTAACTCAGCTAAGTGTAAGTGTTGTACTTTGGAGAAAGGAGCAGCTTCTCTCTGCCAGTGGCTATCTCTACACAGCTGTGCTGTGGCAGACCAGTCACTGTTCTGTGTCACACTACTTATCTGACAAACCTCAGATCTCAAGGGCTTTGAACAAGTAAACTGACCTTGTGAAGCTTCATTAATTCATGAATCATTCCATGATACAGCCCTCCATCTGTCTGTCTGTCCGTCCACCCACCCGTCCACCCGTCCATCTCACACGATAGGCACCAACGACGCACAGCAGTGAACACACTGTGAAGGGGAAGTCCTCTTGCTTACTTTCTAGTGGAAAAGTTAGCAACAGAAAAAGATTTTTAAAATCACATTTAATTGTGTAATTCTTTTGTGTGTATGGCTATTCTGTCTGAATGTATGTCCATGTACAATGTGTATGCCTGGTACCTGCAGAGATCAGAAGACAGCACTGAATTTCCTGGAGTAAAGTTACAGATGGCTGTGACTCACCAGGTTTTAGGTGCTAGGAATCAAACCTGGGCCATCTGTACGAGCAGCCAGTGTTCTTAACTGTTGAGCCATCTCTCCAGCCCAAGAAAAAGACTTTTAATAGTAGCACATGCTAGGAAGAGAATACAAGGCCACATAAGAAGGCGGAAGGGAATGTAAGAGGAGAGGGATCTTTTATCAGTCTGGACAATGTGTTGGTTTGAATGAGGATAGCCTGTATATATACTTGAGTATTTAGTCCCTAGTTGGTAGAACTATTTGGAAAGCCCTTATTGGAAGAGGTATGTCATTGGGGAAAGCTTTGAGGTTTCAAAACCTCACAATAGTCCCAGTCTCTCTGTCTCTGACTGTCTCCAACTTACAGATCAGATGTAGTCTCTCAACTACTGTCCCAATACCATGACTACCCTTCCTGTGTACCTGCTTGCCTAACCGCCCGTCTACCTGCCTGCCTACCATCATGCTTCCTGCCACGATGATCATGGACTAATCCTCTGAATTCTGTGGAAGGCCTTAAATGCTTTCTTTTAAAAGTTGCCTTGGTCATGTTTTCTCTTCATACCAATAGAAAAGTAACTAAAACAAAAGCCTTTGGGAAAGTTGACACTTGGGCTGAGACATGAATGACAAGAGCCCAGTGGCTCCTAGGATGAGGAATACCAAGGCCAGTAAAAGGATGGAAGCTGAGCCAGTTCAGACCAGCCATGAGTCATGTGGCTAAAGTGTTGCAAAGAGGGCAAGTGAGACACAGGCTATCATCTCGTGTGCAGTGGGAATACAACCCTATTATTGCTTTAAAGTTTTTTGACTACTCTGTGATAAATAGCACTTAATTCCCCAAATGAGGAACAAATAAAATGTTTCCCTGGCAGGGTAAGAGCATTAAATAAGATAATAAAGTACCTATGCTTGAAAAATACTCGTATCATTGTATTCTCTGGAAAAACTTGCTGGGGCGCTGTCTTGCTTAGATAATACAGGAGTGACCAACTGGAGTTAAGAAGTATGTCCAAGTACACAATGCCAGAGTTCCTGCTAACACCTCCGAGAGAACATGCACCTCGGGCAAGTGATTTTAAATTGAGCACTAGGGTCAATACCGGCTCCTGAAATGAAGCCTGGCCACCTCCTGAGTCTCCCAGAGACCCAGACTTTGCAAACTTGTAGAGCATGCACTAGAAATGCTCAAAGTTAAATGATATCTTTTGACTACAGCTCCTTTCACAAATTCTTTTCCCACAAGCTCATATACTAGGAATCCTGTAAACTAGGCTGTTTCTGAAAGGGCCAGCAGCAGCTGTGGCAAGGATGGAAGAGCCATTTTAGGCTTCTCTCTTCAGTAATCTATGATGCAAGGCTTTATTAAAAACAAAAGCTACATCTCTGGTTCCTTCTGATATATTAACTGAAACATAAAACAGTGGACATTTAAGAACTCTCACAGGAAACCATGTGAGCCACTGTCAAATGCAGATAGTAAACAGGGCCGTGGCACTGTCCCAGTCTAGCAGGAAAAGGCGCAATTGATTTGTGGAGAACCTGCTAGAAGAGTTTTAGTGAGGAGCTCAGGAGGCCACACCTGGAGATGCCTGGACTGGAAGTGGGTGCCGCTTTCTGTGCTGCCGCTTCTGAAGTCTCTGTTACTGATTCCCTCTCCAAATTCTCCCTCTCAGCAGCTGCTTCAGCGGGGCCTGGGAGCTCAGACATCTCCTCATCCTTCTGCATGGCTTTTTCAGGAGAGTCTTCTGTCTTGTCCCCTTGGACAGGGTCCTGGGGCTGGCTGGGCAGAAGCCTGCTTACAGGCTGCAGAAAGGCATCAAGCTTCTGGTCCCGGGAGTCTGTACGGACCATCTGGTAAGCGTAGACCTTGTCACCACTTCCACTCGTAGATGAGGAAGCCACACCTGTCATGGGTTTTACTGTCTCACCAGAGGGTCCTGCAAGTCCTGGAAGCAAGGTCTGTTTCAAAAGAGAAGACAGTAAAAAGGGCACATAAATGTCCAGATCCCAAAAGAGAACAGTAGTGGCAAAGATGTCAGAGCCGGACAGAGTTACATCATAGTATAACATTCTTAAATATAAAATTCAAGAATTAAGCAAAGTTCTTATAATCTTAAAATTAGGTTAAAATGAAATACGAAAAGTTCTTATATTTTGACTTTTTCTACTATAAAAGATTCTATTTTATTTTTTATGGTAAAACATACACAGCAGGAAACAAAGCACTTTAAGCAATTTTTAAGCTAGAGTTCCCTGGCAGTAAGTATGTTCATATAGCTGGGACTCTCATCTCTAGAACTTTTAACCCCTTGAAACTCACACTCAACTTCCCATTTCTTCTCACCCCAGGCACTGACAACTGTCATTCTGCTGTCTTTTAAAATTTGCTGTGGGACTGACCCCATGACTCTTATGAGCACTCTACCACTGAGTTATAGCCTCAGAATTCTACTTTTAAATATACTTACTTCCTTCATTCTGTTACCGAAGTCTAAAAAAATCAATGACTACCCAGAAATAGTGAAAATCCCAGGTCCCAGATTCTGGATTCTTGTTACCAAATACCAATTCCACTGACATGAACTAGAGCATCTTTGAGAAATAAGCAACCCAGCAGGGGCTGGAAAAGAAGCACAAGGCTGCCCACAACATTCTGTATTGCCAGACATAAGACATCTCGAAGCCTAATGGAATTGGGTCCAAAAAGATGAAGGAACAGCTAAAAAGGACTTCAACTGGACACAAAAATGAGAAAAAGACAAATGTCTACAAGTGACTAACGCAGCTGCTTTGTTAATTGTTGTGACTCAGTACCAAGCAAAGAAAGAAAGTAGGGAAGGAACAACAGTTTTAACAAATGAGAGAAAGTTTTATACAGAAGATTCTTGTCAATTAATACAGAACAAGATGATAAAGTGGTAAGACCATAGCCCTACAATCTAAAGCAATAACTGATTACAGTATTGTGGACACTAGTAAGGTATACTGTGGAGGGCAACCTTAAAAGAACCAGGCTCACCAAAGGAGCTCACTGGTAACACAGAAAGTCACTATGAGCCTCCTGTGGGATGCACTAGGAAGTACAGGGTCCAGCCTTCCCAGAACCATCCTCAGGCCTGTTCTGCAGAGTCCAGCTTGGCCATGTGTAAGAGACAGCCTGACATGATTCCTCCTACCCCTGGAACAGAGCCAGCAGGGTGTAGGCCTCCTCCACCAGTGCTGACGGTTGCTGTGGGCATAAGGCTGGTTTGTATAATAATATACATGCTTTCGCATTCCTCCGAGGAATGTCTTCTCTGGTAATACTAAAGACTCTATGATAATCAGAGACAGCATGAGTCCAGGAGACAAAGGTGTGGCTAATATCTCAGCAAAATAGTAAATGCTGTGACCTCCAGGACAGCCCTCAAGGCTGTAGAAAAGAATCCTAAAAACATAAATTCAAAAATATATAATTTCTCAATCATGCAAAAAATGCAGTATGAATTGCAATAAGGATGCAATACGAATTGTATGAGGAGCTTCACAGTTCTGAAGGAACAGAGGCATCTGCCCTGTGAACCACCTTGTCAGATACAAAGACAGGCAGATACAAATGCAGACAGATCCCTGAGTTCAAGGTCAGCCTGGGACAGAGCAAACTCAGGTCCAGGGATGGTCAGAATGGTAATTCCCACATGGGATCCCACCCAGCTACCAACTGAGGAAGGCAGATTTCTCAATTATTTTGCAATGCTAAAAAAAAAAAAAAAAAAGTACCAGTTGTCTCCTAAGAATCAAAGGGCTGGGTCAGGGGATGCTCATTCACAGGACAATCAAAAGGGAACCTGGAGTAAAGGCCTGGATTGATATGTAAAATAAGACTGGGCTTATGATTGCAGGAGATGAGCTATCCAGAGAAATTTTTAGAATATCAAGAGAGAATTCCTTAGAGAACTGTGTCAAGCAGAAAATAGAGAGAGAGAGAGAGTAGTTTGGAGATCTTCAGAGAAAGCAGGACAGAGGCTGCCAGCCTGGACCTATGATCTGACTTTGTTTTTCCTGCTCCCAGACACCCCTTCTCACAGAACCCTCTCTCCAACCCGAAGTTGGTCCTTTGCAGTTCACAATTATGCTACAACTTCTACACTGAGAAGGACATGTGAGAGGCCCAGAAAACTGCACTGAACTTGCTCAGACCCACTATGGTCAAGAGTAATATGCTTATTTCCTTAACAGGAAGACAAACTGTTCAACACTCTCCTGATGCTTCAGTGTTTGTAATTTAAGCACGGATAGAATGAGAGCTTGACTGGAGGTTCTAGCAGGGGAGCACTACTTGTACACTCTTGACCAAAGACCTGTCCTCCTCTAGGCCCTCCTCTGTTCAGGAAGGAGCATGTAGCTTTTGGAAGGACACACATAGAGTGGTGAGGAAGGGGACACCTGCTCAGCCAGCTAGATCAGCTAGTGACCAATGGGGTGACAGATGTCACAACCAGATTGCTCTCACATCCCACAGGGATAGAATAACAGGGATAAAGCCCAGCGGGAAATGATTCTGATGCAGCCAACCTAGCTTTCAGTTTGGTGTACTCCTGCGGTAGACAGGGACTTTCACTGTGTGTTCTTTCTCACACCCCCAGCTGCTCCTCACAAGAAAGCCTTGGCTCCATCCCATAATCCCCAGCAGAAGCAAGACCAGCATTTGCCTCCTCACTACCAAAAGGAATGAGATGGACACATATGAATGAACCTAACAAAAGACATCTCCAGATAAAGAATTACTGGGGTAAAATGAATGGGAGGGGCAAGGCGACAGTCACCTGGCAAACTGACTGTAGACTGTGATTCAGAGAAGCTCTGAGCCGGATCCTGATGATGTGAATTAGTTAATAGCACTGAACTGTATGTGGTCAAAATGCTTCAGATGCTACACTCTACAGTTTATAACGTCAAACACCAGCTCTCGGACTAGAGTATGAGAATTTACAGCCACTGGCAGTGCAGAAAACTAAGGTATGATAACTTGGATTTTTTTCTTTTGAGGAATCAAACTAGAATGAATAAAATTTACAAGAAAAAAAATCTAGGCAAAAGAATGTTTTTGTGTCTGAATATAGTTAAACCCCTAGATTTCCAACTCAAAGCAAAATAGAGGATCAGAGAGAATTATATAACACTACAGAGAAACAATCAGCCCATCAATCTAAATGTACTTTATGCTACAGGAAACACAGAGATGCAAACTAGAACAGCAATTTTAAAAAGGAAGCTGGGACTGCCAAGATAGCTCAGTGGGCGAAAGTGCTGGTCGTCAACCATTAACCTGAGTTAATCTCTGGAAGTCACACTAAAAGGAGAGACCTGACTCATCAGAGTTACCTTCTGATCTCCACATGCTTGCCACAGTGCGTGTGTGTACCACTCCCCATGAGCGCCCACATACAAATAAGTGAAAGGAGATGGCTTTACTTAATTCAAAGGGACTTAAGAGATTTCAGGAAGGGAGGCCTGGTGGTACACATCTGGAACTCCAGTTCTTGAGAGGCAGAGGCAGAAGAATCAGAAGTTTAAGTTCCTAAACTATATGCAAAGTAAAGGCCAGCCTAAGCTATGAAACCCTGTTTCCCCCAAAATAAAAGTAAACACAGACAGAGAGCCAACTTAAGAGATTTAAAAAAAATGTAACAACCAAATATTATGACCTGAATGTCTCTGGATACAGATTTGAACACACCTACTGTTAAACAGACTCTCAGGAAAATTAAGATTATTTGAATAAGATTAGATAGTAAATGATGTCATTGCTATTAATTTTATTGTGTGTCCTATTTATATTATGGTTATATAAGAAACTTTTTAGATGTATAATGAAGTACTAGAGAAGAAATCAATGTCTAAAATGTCTTTAAGGTATAATTTTCTCTCCCCTAAGTAAGACAAAAATATATAAACCCAGCAGGGCAGAATGCTGATGCCATTAAAGCTGGGCGACAGGTATGTGACAACTGAATTTCATCTCCGCTTCAAAAATGCACAAAGATAAAACAAAGTATCAGTGCTATTCAAAAGCAGAACACCTTTCTTGAAGACAGTCCAAGTCCAGAGGAGGGGCTGGCTCAGGGGTCAGAACATCTGCTGTGCAAGCGTGAGGACCTGGGTTAAATGTCCAGCATCCAGTAAGGTCTGGCCTGGCCACAGTGTCTATCACCTCATTCCTGGGGTGGAAGCAGGCAGCTCTTGAGAGTCACTTGCAAGTCAGCTTCACTCAGAGAGCATCAGTTCAGTGAAAGTCAGTCTCAGGGCAGTCAGGAGACAGAACAAGGTCAGTACCCTGCTCTAGCCCCTGCATACAAGTGTATGGATGCATGACCTGCGCACATGTGCATGGACCATACACAGAGACACTCGGTACATAAATCCCAGAGGAAAATGTTACTGGAAGAAAACTATCAAAGAAATATAAAGACAAGTCAAGGCTGTAACAAAAAATCTGAGTTTCTATGATGTGATGAAATGTGAAACACATTTCAAAGCAGCAAAGGCCCAGAGAGACGGTGGAGGTAGACTTCCTCACCTGGGTGAAATACATCCTGGACGAATTGGAGCCCAGTAGCTTGCTCTCAATATGCTGCTGCACACGCTCCAGAATGCTCTCCTCATGAAGAAAGTGAACTTCATGCTTGGTGGGGTGCACATTGACATCCACATTCTGAGGACTGATTTCCAAACTAGCATGAAAAGAAAAAAACCACAAGAGATGGAATGTGTGACACATGATGACTAGACAACATGGCCAGCCAAATCACCATGGCCTCAAATCAAGTCAGAAAGGCTGCATGCTAGCTCTGGTACTCAGGAACTATGTGGCTTTCGGAGACTTGCATCACTGTCCTTGGCCTTATTGTCATTTATAAACTAGACACAGCAGCTCTCCTAACTTCAGTTACAGTGGGAATTAAGTCCAAGCAAGACTCTTGCGTGCGTGCGTGCGTGTATGTTAGTTACTGCATGTCAGCTGTCAGCAGTACTGCTGGACTATGTGACCTCAGGCAAGTAGCCAACATCTTTGAATGTTTTCTCAGCTCTAAAGACAGGGTAACTATCAAACTGTCCTCTTCCCTCACTTTTCAGAAGATGCAAAAGAACTCTCTCGTCAACTCAGAGCTCTTATCCTGCTCCTCATCCATCTTTCATGGCTTGCTAAAAATGAGCTTTGCAATATGAAACTCAGTAGAGGGCACTACAGGCACAACCGGAGGCATCTTCTTGCACACAAAGCTCAGCAGCAGTGTCTTCCTATGGGCAGTACACCACACAGCAGCTCCTCAGGATAGTCCCGAGGACTGCCTCAAGCACTTCTCCCAGGAGCACAAGCCACAGGCACATTCTTTCTTATCTCAGCGACGGGGTGGATGGGGTGGTGAGGACGGAATGGCAAGAGGCTCTATTACTCTCTCAGCCCTGGGGAGGGAGGGGCTGCTCTCTTGCCCCCGTTGTCCCTGTCACTGATCTCTGTTTACTGCTTTTGGGCTTGACTTCATTATTAATTTCTTCATTAACCTTTCTTGTTCTGTTGCATGATTTCTATCTCCTATTTAGATCCTGCCTGGTAAGGAATAAGCTGATAACATTACAGATTTATTGCCCAGCAAGTAAACATCTGATGGAATCAACAACTGTACATTAAATCTAAAAGCTACTTTCATCCATGGCCATAACATGTCTGATCTCATCTAAAAACCATTTTGAAACATGAATTTTTTTTTTACTCTTTCGCTCATTTCAGTAAGACCAGAACAAAGAAAACTTTCTTTTTTTGAGACAGGGTCTTGTTACACTGTCCTAGAAACTTAAAATTCTCCAATACAATGGGTTCATAGGAGTGTTCCAGAAGGCTCAGCTAAGAATTAGCTTTCCAACATAGTTTTTGCCAGAAGGCTAAGGTTTCAAACTTCAAAGATTTCAGTTCTGTATTGGGCCCTTGTGAAGCTTTGTTGCAAAGAGAACGGTCATTCTTCATGCTGATTTTTAGAGAGGCTTTTTCAGACAAGCAGAATAAGACATAAAGAAGAGACCTTGACTGTGTGGGGTTTGGTCTAAGTCAGGCAAGCCCTCAACTATGTGTGATGACAAAGTATGGATGCTACAGTATTTAAGGAAGCCACTGGCATCTGCCAAGCTAAGGCAGGAACCCTACAAGAAGGCAGGCAGGTAAAGGCAGTTACCACAGACCCGCTAACCAGAACCTGTGGAAAAGAAAAACTGACTCCAGAAATGTTTCTGCTGACTTCCATACGTGTCCCTTGTGTCCCATGCTCCATGATCTCTCACTCCTTCTCTCTTTCTCTTACCACCCCCTACATTAAATAAACAAGGAAAAAGAATCTTTAAAAATGTTGAAAGACTCCTTGCAAGGCATGATGCTGTTTCTTGACCCAAGTGGAAGGAAGCACAGTCTCTGAGTGAGTGAGAATGGTGCCATTTTCCTGTGGAAGGACAGGGCATCCTTTCAGAGCAGTGGCTGACGACTGATAGCCAACCTCTTTCACAGAGCACTGAAGTGTCTGGTGCTACGTTACCTGAGGTACAGGAATGGGTGTGTGTTTTTGGGCAAATATGCTGCATACACAGTTTCTATGGCTTTTCTCAAGGCAGCTGATTCTACCAGACGGTCTGAAAAAACAAAAGGAGAATTAACCAGATCACACTTGTCCTTTAGATGGTCACAGCTGCATCCTCACACTTGGCCATAATGTCACCCCTGGAGTGGATGCCCAGGAACAAGAGCCCCCTTTATCTGTCATCACTTCCCAGCATCTCACTACAGGTTTGGGGTTTTTCCTCTTGTCCAAGCAGCAGAAAAAATGAGAGGGTGTCCAATTCTGCCTGCTCACTCGCCTTCCTCCCATCAGCCCATGTACATCAGCTTTGCTGTCATTGGCCCTCAGCAGCTCTCAGACATTTCAATCCACAAAGACAAAGCTACCAATCACACACACCAAAAGCTGAGAGAAACCACAGTGGTGGATAAACCATGCCCAAGTGTCCAGTCCTTCAACAGAGATGTGTGTGATGCACACAGTGAGGTGAGAGCACTAACTTCGTCCACAGAGGGTTCCACACTAAATGAGGAAGGCTAAGAGCAAGAGCCCCAGCATCTCAGGCAGTACAAACAGCTCAATGCATGGTTAAGGCAAAATAAGTGAACCAAGCTTCGAGGGTATAGAGAAAGGCTAGAAGTTAAGACGAAAGACAAAGGAAGATCTCTTTTCAGATTTTTTTTTCTCCTGAGACAGATTTTTTTTAAAGTAGCTTAATGAACTGTGTTCTATGAACTGGCAGCCAAGAATATGTCACATCTTTATATTTCTAACAAGAGTGATGATTTTATCAATGATGAAACTATTATTGTTTGAGTAATCTCCACATCCACAGCCCCTTTAACAATGCCATAGTGTGCTCTATAACTCCTGTACTGGTGGTATACAGGCCTGGTGGTATACCTAACAAGATAGATGAAGCAAATCTGCTAAGGTCTATGAATGTGAGGCAGGCTTTCACAGTGATGGTTATCACTGTCCCTAGGTGAGCATATACAGGACAGAATAGGAAGCTGGCCTGTTTTGTCATTATGAACAAATCAGTCAGTGTTAACACATACAATGTATGGTTCATAGACCAAGCAGAAATATGAACAGGCTAGTCAAATAATACTTGGTTGACTCCTGCTTGTCTGCTCTATAGTTAACATGTGTAACATAAAACAGTTATCCGTCTTTTTTTAAAGTCTTAAGTATACTTATTTTTGGGGGGAGGAGGGACAAGGACATATGGAGGACAACTTACTGGAGTCAGTTCTAAGACTGACTGGTCCTGGGACTAGAACTCAGGTCAACATGCTTGCTGACAAGTGCCTTTACTTGTTGAGTCTTTACACTGTCCCCTAGAGCTGTTATGCTTATGCTTAGAACAAAACTAATGAAAACACTGTTCCTAAGCCTTACATGTAACAAGCCTTATTATTTATTAGGCTTGGACTTCTGAATATAGTAGGAAAGATGCCTGCTATATAAATGGTATTAACAGAATGTGTTTAACAGTGGTTGGCCTCTTTAACTGCTCCTGGATTGCTCTGAACAATTGCTGTAAAATATACATGATGAGTCAGGAGGTGGTGGTGGGCACCTTTAATCCCAGCACTCAGGAGGCAAAGGCAGGTAGACCTCTAGGTGATGCCAGCCTGGTCTAAAACACAAGTTCCAGAACAGCCAGGGTTGTTATACAGAGAAACCCTGTCCCAAAAATCCAAAACCAAACCAAACCGGATCAGAACATACATAAGTTGAGGGCTAGTGAGGTGGCTCAGCAGCTAAGAGCACTTGTCCCTGCAGAGGGCCTGGGTCGGTTCTCAGCACCCACATGGTGGTGGTGGTTCACAACCATCCTTAACTCTAGTTCCAGGGGAATCAACACTTCTTGCCTCCAAAGGCATCAGGCATGTGCACGGTGAACAAACATACAGGGAGGCAAAACATTCACACAAGTAAAATAAGTAAATCCAAAACTAAATTTATCTTAACAGGCTATACCCACATCTTAGGCATACTCTTCTCTTTCGTTCTCTCAGTACCCATCTTAAATCTCTATTCAACAGATTCTTAGTAAACTCCAATTTTGTTTAAAAAAAAAAAAACTTTGAAGATAAGAATACGAAAATCAAATGTGTGGAAAGATGTTTCTCATGTGGGAAAGGACCCTGAGCTCTGACTACTGGCGCAGGGGGTACTGTTACTCTAGTACCATGGAACCCTCACAATATACAACTGAGCTACACAAATCCAAAAGTCAAATAGTATTCACTTAATAAAAACCATGTAAATAACACGTTACCAGAGAGATAAGAACTGGGAGAGAATTTTAAGCTAATTTAATTTCTTCCTTGATTACTAGAATTATCCTTAGTATCATAAATTTCACTCTTTAAAAGAAAAAATTCTCAAGGTTCTTAGGATTCAGCTTTTTAGTGACAATGCCTATGGTGATTTGAATATGCTTGACCCACGGAGTGGCACTATTAGGAGGTGTGGCCTTGCTGGAGTAGGTGTGGCCTTATTAGAAGTGTGTCACTGTGGGGGTGGTCAATGAGACCCTCCCCTTAACCATGTGGGAGTCAGTCTTCTCTTAGCAGGCCTTCAGATGAAGATGTAGAATTTTCATGCCTGCCTGGACAATGCCATGTTCTTGCCTTGATGATAATGAACTGAACCTCTAAATCTGTAAGCCAGCCTCAATTAAATGTTATCCTTAGAAGAGTTGCCTTGTTCATGGTTTCTCTTCACAGCAGTAAAACCCTAAGACAATGCTTATACTCATCTTGACTTTCTGCTGTATACTGTGGAACAGTAGCCTGACCTAGAGGCAGAATAGGGTCTGCTTATAAAGGCTGTGATGCCAGCACAGAGGAAGGCAATCTGGCCTACACTGCTCAAGGTAAAGAAACAGAATGTGACAGCCAACAACACAGAAAAGATAAAAACTATAGATGCTTTCTAACTGGGCCAAACTGTGACATGAAGTCTCCCCATGTACGAGTATCCTGGGAGTTAGGAACTCTTGGGTTCCATACACTCTCTGTGTAGACACTTGATTCTTCCTCACTTACGGTTGATGAAGAGTAGGAAAATGCACTTCTTCACTGAGTAGTTTGCATTCGATATATAGCCATTCATTTTGAAAGCTAGGGTTTTATCCTCACACCCAACTTCTATCAGTTCTCTGTTTAGAAAAGAGAAATTTTGAGACTTTTGAAAGCACAAGAAATATTACATGTCAGAAAAAAATCGAAATAGTAAAAAACAGAGTTCCTTCCATAACCATCTTTGCCCCATAAAAAAATCTACCTACGTCTAGGTTCACCTAAGGTCCTATAAGTCCTCTCAACATCTGTCCTCTGTCTATCCAACTGTCTACCCATTCTCTGTCCAGCCACCTACTCAGTGTTTTCAAGTACTTGGGCTGAGTACAGGGCACCACTCTAACTGCTGAAAAGAGGAATCTAAGCTCCCAGTCCTTACTTTGTTTAAAAATTTAGTTATCATAACTAAATCCCAAAGCTTTAAGCCCCAAACCCATCTCTGCTGACCTGAAACCTTACTATACTGCTTATAGCCATAATGGATTCCCAAGAGTGTTTACTGGCAAGGACAGGTAAACAGGAGCTGGTCTCTCTGAAAAGCCACACTTATTTCGTCCTAAGTTTTCAGAATAACCTACTGGTAGCTGGTTAACTCCTAGAGTCCTGTGAGAAGCAGAATCATCCCAGCTGTTCACTAGTACATCCCTACTGTGGTATGCACTCACTAGGTTTTGCTGCATAGACAGAGGATGCTTTTCCTGCATTACGCCGAGTCTCTGGGTGGAAAGTGCAGCCTGCAGGGTTGCACATACACACTGACACACAAACTCTTTCTTCCTCTAATGTCTCAGGAGGCCAGACTGGAAACCTGCTTCTGGAATGTTCTCTAGGGACAATGTCTAATCTCTTACAGCCCATGAGGATTCCATGGCAACTACTGTTCAGTCTTAAAATCTTGTCACAAGCTCTTAAAAGCTACCCTGTAAAATACAGACATCTTCCTTTGCTCTAGGAATACAGTTTTTAAAACTAACTCATTTACATTTAATTAGAAAGAAAAGTGTGATAACAAACAAACTATTTGTTTCCTTGGTTTGACTCAAAGAATGAATAGTTTGTCCTTGGAAGCAGAATTTCAGTATTAGGACAACTGCCAATGCTTTTGAAACCTTGTGGAAAGGGAAGGCGGACCGCTGGCTCCACAGGAAGCCACCTGGGGTATGTGGTGAAGTCCAAAGCAGGCATTCCTAGAGGCACCTGTGATGGAAATGGTGGGCTTTACAAACAAGGGGAGCTCCAGAGGAACTCATCGCAGAAGCAAACTCTCCTCCGGGGCCTTCTCTGAAAATGAAGTGCTGCTAATGCCTGCAAATGCAGTCTTTAAGAACAGAAAATTTCATCCAGATTTACATCTCTAGCTCCTGACACAACATTTAAAATAAAAAAGGCAATTAATCAATGTTTCGTGACAAGTTAAATCCTCCCAGTAACAACAAAAAAAAAGGGAACAGGAACGTCCAAGGGTGACAGAACTCTAAACTTTAAAGGGAACAAGCTGATTTATAGGCACAGCATCCAGTAGACAAAGCACCCCAGGGAACACTGACTGCATAAAACAGTGACGCTCTCAACTACCATGAAGCACAGGAACAAGCCTAATATCTGACTGTGCCAGCTCTCCAGCATTTACTGTCAGCAAGTTTCAAATCAAAACTGGGTTGATGAATCAAGGGAAGGAACACAAAGAATTCTGTTATATGTGATTACTGACATACCGACTAACAGCATTTCCAAAGATGGAGCGAATGTTGTCCACAGTTGTGGCATTGGGTAATGTTCGGACATCAGACACTGTCTCACCTTGCTGAAAAACAACAGACAACATTGTGACTTGACATCTGATGGCCCCAAGAAGAATGTTTTTCTTAAAAATCATCTACTTTTACTTCCTAATACAAAATTGTCATTCAAAAATCCTAATTTAGGGACTGAAGACAAGGCCTGGCCATTAGAACATTGGCTGCTACTCTTGCAGAAGTTTCAAGTTTGTCTTCCAGAACCCATATGGCACTCACAACCATATGTAAATCCATTTCCAGGTGATCTGATAGCCTCTTCTGGCCTCTGTGGGCACCAAGCATGTACATGGTACAGAGATATACATGCAGACAAAAATTTGCACACATAAAACAAAAATGGATATATCTTTTTAAAAATATCATGACTTACTTTTTTTACTGAGAAACTAATGCCTGAGTTGTGTATTGAATACCTGGAAAAGAAAAAGTCAAAGCTAAGCAGAGGGCATCCAAATGCACAATAAATTCAGCCAACTACTTTTAAATAAATAAGTTGGTAGATTTATAAGAGAAAAGTGATTTAAGCAAAGGTACATACAAACCAAAATACCTTGGTATAATCTATATTACCCACAAGAAGACAAAGCAACAGAGACCTGTGGAGATTACACCTCTCCATGTGAGTACGTCACAGGAAACACCAAGGGTTATAGGCTGCTGACAGGATCTCGGCTAATATGAACCTGCAGGATCCGTTCATGGTGACAGACCTAGGCTGCCACCAGGACATCCTAACCCTGGATTCATTCCTGCACTTGATTCCCTCAGCACACCATGTCTGTCACTGCTCTTTCCCTGGGGCTGGTCCTCTCCAGTATCTCAGTATCTCCACAGCCTTTCTGAAGCCAGCTTTGTCACTCCTGTATTCACTAACTCCATGAACTAAAGAACTGTCCTTATTAATATCAATTTTCTACCTTAGCGCACTTAGAACCAAAACAGCCAATGAGAATATTTTTGATGCTAATTTACACAATTTTACTAGTGAGAGTGGGGAGTGTGTAGGGGACCGAATACATAAACCTGTTCCTGTATGGACAGATATAGTTTAGAAAGACCGACACAAATCACTATTATGATTTAGACATGTAGTTCAAACCCCACTGCAGCCATGTATAGTAATGGACTATCTGTATCTGATTCTGCCTTTGCTTGCTTGAATCTCCTTTTCCTGCTTAAATGGATCAGACATCCAAGTCACCTTGGGAAACTTCTTTTATCCTGTCCCTCCTAAAGCATGCTAAGTAACGACTGCCAACCAGGAAGTCTCCCCAGAGCTGTGGGACCAAACCATGGATTCCAGTAATGCCAATCACAGCACTGTCCAGGAGAGGACACCAAAGCCAAGGCAGAAGAAAACAACAGAAGGATCACCAGTCACCTTGCTTCCTGCCTCATCTCACCTACCTAGTGAGCAGCGGGAACTTTTCCCTTTGGCTCAAAGTATCTTAGTTTGCTTCATCAGCCAGCAAAGAACCCAGCGAAAGAGACCAACTGCGCACCTTGCAAGATGAGTCAAGACTCAGGGCTGATGAGCGACCTGGGACCAAAAGAGCACACGAGCCAGCGCTGCTGCCTGCACCTAGCTGTCAAGGACTCTCCATTCACAAGCACTGGGACACATTCCTTTAAAGAAGGACCCACTCCCAAATTTTGGACAGTACCTGCCAACAACTTCCAAAATTTTCCCGTACTCTTCATTTGGATTTTTTAAAGCTTTCCTCCTTGTGATTATATTGTAAAAAAGGTCTTCCACCTGAAGAAAGATCCATTTGTCTTGTAAATTCCTGGATGTACATGGAAAGCATCACACTGCCTACCGAAAGCTGGATATTAAAGTACTGAATGCTGTGACATTCCCAACAGACTGTTCCAAGTGCGGGGAGGGAAGAAATAAGACAGCATCAATTCCACATTCCCTGACTTCTCAGATAATGATGGCTGGCTGCATGGCAGACTGTTTGCTAAAAATATGAGGACATTTTAAATTATTGTCATGTTCAAGAGTAGACAATTTTAAGACATGAATGTAACTCTGCAAAGAATTACTATATTACACAGAGATGTTTTTCAAACTAAGGACAATCATAAAACTGGCAAGAATTTGGAGTTCTCAATAATCACACTTTGTATGCAGCTAAGGCTCCCTCTAGCCAGCACTGTGAAGCACAGGTTTGTTCTGCCTCCTGGCTGCCTATCACGCCAGGACTTGGAAAGGTCCTTGGAAAGTCTTCACGATGTGCTAAAGCTGGGGTCAGGGGTAAAGGACCAGACAGGAACAGGGTCTCGAGGTGCTTGATGGAATCTCCAGCTGGAAAGACACTGAAATGCTCTGATGAGGCTGCAGGATGGGCTTCCTCTCCACTAACGGCACTCACATGACCCACCCATGACCCTCTGCGGCAGATGGCTAGGCATGCTTTGTTCCACTGGAGACATTAGAAAACTAAAATTCTGAGATGTTAAATGACTTGCCCAGGAACACACAGCGCTGAAATACCAGACTGGGACTCCGACACACCTTCTGGAGTCAACCATAACTTGTTTCCCACTGATCTCTGCCATCCAGCTCCCTTTAAAAGACAAGAAGGCAGGGAGGCTGCTGTACATAAAACCCAATCCTCATTTTCCTTACTTAGAAGCCTAAGTATCTTGGGACTTCTATTACAAGTCAAGTTTATTTGATTTTTACATCAGAAACTCAGAGCCTGTTTTAGTTTTACGTCAGCATACCAAGCTATTAATCAGCAGTTGTAGTCCCATGTAGCATCCTTACCGTGATCAGGGTACCCTGGTTGCCTGCACATGGTTTAGGAGGTGCTTGCAGCTTTCCATCTGAGTAACTTGCTCTAGTCAGAAAATATAAAAGATTATTAGTATCTAATAGGATCCTTATCCAAAGCATAAAAATAAAAATCAAAGTCCAGGCATAGTGGCCTATGTCTGCAACCCCAACATTGCAAATGCCTTACAATTTCCTGAGCTGCATAAAACATAAATACACTAATATGTCACATTTTAAAAATGACAAACTTCATTACTAAAGAACAGCTTGCAAATAAGTAAAAACATCATACACCAAAAATTAACCAGGCCCAAAGTCTATACAACTCAGTGAACTAGGCATTGGAAATTAATCTGTGAAGCTTCACATTAAATTTTACACCTTCAGTATGGAATATATTTTATGTACTTATCCACAAGAGAACTAGTAAAACAATGAACTTTCTAATCTCCTTCATAATTGTGTCTATTACCAGGATTCAGTCCATATTGTCACACTTTAAAAATAAAAATTATATCAATCATACATTATAACATAGCCATATTATATGTTAATTGGATTTTATTTTAAAGCCCTATTATAACAAATCTTGCCTGAGCTATTAAATTCTGAATTACTAACCAACAGCTTTGCCACTGCTTAAGGTAGTTGTTAATGTCACTGCAATTCTGCAACCATTTGCCTGCTAATGTCCTGGTAATAAAGAAAAGCCTAGCCAGTACCAGTAGGGTATACCTGTAATCCTAGCACTCTGGACGCAAAAGTAGGGTCATTGCAAGTTCCAGGCAGTCAGGGCTTTCTGTCTCAAAAACAAAACAAAACACAATATCCCACAAAAAACAGCTCTTGATCTGCCCCAGGGAGTCTTTTATCCAAGTGTAGACTAATGTGTTAAGGGATCCAACAAGAAGACCCTTTAGCCTGGGTAGGTGACTTCGGAGGTGGTAGCATCAGAGAAAAGAAGAAAACTCATCCAGACTTTAAGGAGAAATAGCTTCAGGTGAATACAGAAAAAAAAAAAAAACTTGTAAATCAGAGAGCAAGGAGCTTTGGAACACATGGCACTTGGTAATACGTGGAGAGAAGGGGCTGAAAAGTGGGTCAGGACATTCCCAAGTGTCTTAGTCAGTGTTCCTGTTGCTGGGATGAAACACCATGACCAAAGCAACTTGGGGAGGAAAGGGTTTATTTGGCTTACACTTCCACATCAAGTAGGGGCACGAACTCAAGTAGGACAGAAACTTGGAGGCAGGAGCTGATGCTGAGGCCATGGAGGGGTGCTGCTTACTGGCTTGCTCAGCTTGCTTTCTTATAGAACGCAAGACCACCAGCCCCCGGAGTGGAACCACCCACAATGGGCTGGGCACCTCCCCATTAATCACTAATTAAGAAAATGTCTTACAGCCAGATCTTAGGGAAGCATTTTTTTAAATTAAGGTTCTCTCTTCTTAAATGACTTTAGCATGTCATAAAACTATTCAGCCCAAGAAAGCATCGGGTGCCAAGATGAAACCTCTGGATTTCATCCTGCCACAGAAGAGAGTCACTAGAAGCCCTAGGTATGGCATAAAAAAAAAAACAGAGGTCTTGAAACAGGACTCACAGCTCAGGCAACCCACAAAAATCTCACAATTGTCTCTCTGGTTTGTAACACTCCAATCAGCCCACTAGAACTCACACACAGAACCAAGGCCCCTAACACCAGCCCTGCGTACTCTGAAGCACTCCCTCTTCTGTTTCATCACACACTAGTCTTCAGAAGACTGAGGGCACAGAATTGTCCTGATTTAATTTACAAATGACCTGAATCTTTCTTCTTTCTGCATTCATTAGGTATGACTAAAGTCTTCAGGCAGTGTCAGCCAGTGCTTACAAAAACAAAAGCATGACTGTGATTTCTCGAATTCCACTTTTGTTCTGTCTCAGGACCATTTCCAAGGCTCTGGAAATTGTGAGCACAACAGCCAGGCAGCAGATACTTCCTGGAAAGCAAGCCAGCTCACGCAGGCCCAGGAAGAAGGGAACCAGAAGCTCAGGAGCCAGCAAATGCATTGTGAATCTCCAGTATCCCAGCCATAGACCTGTCATCAGCCCAACGTGCTAGCCCACTGAGGGGCAAAAGGGCAGAAATAACATGAACAGCTACTTAGATAACCTGTGTGCAATGGACATCTTCCTGGGTACTTGTAATTCTTTACAACTTATCTCTTAGGAAGATACCCAGTCTGGGTGGAGGTGGCTCAGCTGTTAAAAGCACTGGCTACTCTTCCACAGAGGTCAAACAGAGAGGGAACAGGAAATGAGAATATCTTATTACCTAGAAACTTCTAGAGAATCTGTATTCTATCCCCAGAACCTACATGTTGTGCTCACAGTTTACAGTCATATGTAACTCCAGTCCCGGTAGATGCCATTCCTCCTTCAGGCTTCCAAGGGTACCAGATATACACATGGTATGCAGACATGAATGCAGTCAAAATATCCATACACATAAAATACATTTATTTAAATCTTAAAAAGAAGCCACGAAAAGAAGCCATGAGTACCAACTCATGGTCATCCCTGTGGATGAATACTTTATCCACAGGAATGGAAGAAAAACTAGTATTTTACGGGGGTATGGGGGTGGGGGTGGGGAGTAACACTTATGTTTAGGGTGGACACATACCTGTATGCACATTTTCCATCAGCTGTTTTGGTTGTAATAGTGACATGGGCCACATGGCTTATGCTTGCCAAAGCCTAGGAAAGGGAACCAGATGAAAGAAAACCTTACTGTTGCTTCATCAAGGCAAAGGTTATCTGACTTACCTCTTCTAATACACATTAACGTGGCAACAATGAACCATCTGATGCTGTTTTAAGAAAGAGAGAAAATCTAATCCATAAGGTAATCACTAGACTAAAGGAAAGCATATGTTACAAACTCCAAAAGGAATCACACTAGACTTCCTGTGTTGCCCATAACTGTAGCTCATGCTGCTATCACAGGGACTGTGCCGGGCAGTTTCCATTACTGTAACAATATACCAGATGATCAACTTATAGACAACAGGCTTCTATCAGCTGGTGGTTTTAGAGGACTCATTTGATCATCAGAACTTGCTGATGCTTTTGGTCCTGTGTTGAAGAAACTCATTGTGGTGTGGAGTTCGTGAAGACCAAAGCCAATCACACCTCACATCCACAGAGGCCAAAAAGAACAGGAAGGGTTCACTGTCCCCTTAAAGGGCACATCTTATGATCCGAAAATCACCTACTAGGCCCAAACTTAGCTTAAAATTTTTTCTAATAACAACCATGGACCAAGCTTTTAGTGCATGGGCCCCTAGAGAATATTCCAGATTCAAAGAGTAATATACTCTCAGTGATGTATCTTACAAGGAATTAAAAGCTTGTCTTCAGAAAGAAATAATGGGATCTCTCAAAACAATATAGAAACAATTATATTTTTAAAAATACAAATTTAAAATTGCTATAATGGGTCTGTACAACAGCATCTAAACTCCAGAAGCAGTTTCAGCTTATTGAAAGAAGCATGGCTCTGCTTGGGTGGCTGAGGTAAAAGGATCACCAGAATCTTGGAATTTGAGATCAGCAGAGGAGCTCAGCCCCATCTCAAAAATATATGAATCAAAAAGGGACATGCTTCAGACTCAGAGATTACTTGGTCAGAGCCACACTTGCCTGGTTCATATCCTTGTCTCTTTCTCTTTGTAACTAAGTTGACCTCAGACTTGCTATGAAGATCTGGCTAGTTCCAAATCTAGATCCTCCTGTCTCAGCCTCTCAAGTACTGGGATTACAGGCATATATACCATTGCATCCAGCTTGGCTTTTATAATTTTCAACATTTAAGAAAGTGGGTGTGGTAGAAGACCCTTAATCCCAATATTTTGGAGGTAAAGACAGGAAGATCAGAAGCTTAAGAGCAGTCTCAGCTACATAAGTTCAAGACCAACCAGGGCTGTAGAAGGCCTGGTTCAAACCATAAAATACATTTAAAATGTAAATGATTTTTGAGACCTGTGTAAGGTAAGAGCTGCTCACAGAAGACAATCCTATGTGTTTTTAGGAAGAAAGTGGGCCAATATACACAATACAGCAGATAGCCCTGCTGCTTCAGAAGGAGGCTTTTCATGTAGACAGGAGCAGATTCTAGGGTCTGTCTAGTATGCACCCATCAGATTTCTTATACATCTTCATGTGAATCAGGAAGATGGTAACTCTATGCTGTGGGGATTAGAAGGAAGAGCTAATTCACAAAAGGAACATCATGGGCACAAAGACGTTCCCAATATAAACCTCCGTCTGATTCCAGTAAACAGTAACTCCTAAGATAGACTATAGTGCAGGAGGCCAGAGGCTTAGAAACTGACCCATAGGGTTGCAGCTAGGATAAAACTGCCTTCCTACAACCTGACCAGAGGCAGCTTTAAATTAAGCCTCTCAGAGAATGTCTACTGGGGACAATTTTGAGGTTACTGTGAGCCAGAAGGCAATTGAGACTATATTGGTTTGACCTACACTACCTAAATTATGGAGAACGGCTCACAGCTTGTAGGGGATTTGGAAGTCAACCTCGTAAAGGAAAAAGTGGGAGGGAGAGCGAGGCCCCACAGGCTCCTGGGACTCCTCAGAGAGTTCTGATCTGCCACACATGGCATTACATGTAAGATGGCTCCCAGCACACCAGTGAGACAGCAAAAAGGAACCCAGGCCAGGCGGTGGCTACTTCCTATCTCACAGGTGACTTCCTATAGAAGTCCTCACAGGTGACCACACTCCCCCAACTTTTTCTGAGATACCTCATTAGACAGAGCTTTCATTGGAGCACGATGATGGTATGGTGAGATATGACTGACCAACGATTTAGGGACTGGCTCAAACATTATATATAAGCTTATAGGCGGGGAAATAAACTCAGATCTGCACCCTGATGCTGGTCTCCAGGGTCATATTTCCTGGGATTCATCAAGTGACTCTGTCACCTCTCACCTCACATCCTTGGTGCTGGTTCCACATCAGCTGCCTTTTAATTAAATAAAATCTATGCCTGTCTTAGTTATTGTTCTCTTGCTGCAAAGAGATACCATGACCACAGTAACTCTTATAAAAGAAAGCATTTAACTGGGGGCTTGCTTACAGTTTCAGAGGGATATTAGTCCATTATCATCATAGCTGGGAACATGACAGCAGGCAGGCAAGCATGTTGCTAGAAAAAAATATCTGAGAGCTCCACCCTGATCTGCAGGCAGAGAAGAGTCTGGGCCTCACATATGGTTCACACCCTTTGAGTCTCTTCTAGTTCACAGGTCCGTGCTCTTCTCTGCCCCTTATTCTTGTGGTTTACCGGCTGACAGCCTAGTGTATGTATTGTATGGATTGCATTTTCTAATCCCAGTACTGCTTACATTACCATTCCTGCATGTCCTCTATATTTTTAATATACTGATAAGCAGATAAAACTGTTGATCAGATTCACATTTGGTTTTCTGATAAAACTTCATAGGTGTCTTAGGTTAGGGTTTTACTGTTGTGAACAGACACCATGACTAAGGCAACTCTTATAAAGGACAACATTTAATTGGGGCTGGCTTACAGGTTCAGAGGTTCAGTCCATTACCATTACAGCAAGATGCAGGGCATCGTCTAGGCAGGCATGGTGCAGAAAGAGTTGAGAGTTCTACATCTTGTTGCAAAGGCAAACAGAAGATTGTCTTGCAGGCAGCTAGAAGGGTCTCAAAGCCCACCCCTACAGTGACACATTTCCTCCAACAAGGCCACACCTACTCCAGCAAGGCCACACCTCCTAATACTGCCACTCCCTGGGCCAACCATATTCAAACCACCACAGTAGGTAATGCTAGGGACTTCAATAAAAACACATGATATCCAGTGCCTCTGTAGATAAAATAGTATATTAAGTATTTTTCAAAATTTCTTAGTTGTGGAAAGCTAAATTTGTCAAATTTACATGTGGTGAACAAGTACAAGTATTACATTGCATTTGTGTCTGTTGAGAAATGAGAACATTATCATGGGAGGGCATTTAACACATTCCTTTAAGTCTTAACTTACCTCACCACGGAAGCCATAGGTAGAAATACTGGCTAAGTCCTCAAAAGTCTGCAGTTTACTTGTAGTGAACCTCTCACACACAATATCCAGATCTTCCTTCTACATGATTGAGGAGGAGGAGGAGAAAATCATTATGTCTTCATTTTCTCAAATCTGGATTTTCATTTTATTGCTTTAATCTGAGAAGAAATTCTCAGGAGGTCAAAATTAGTACCAACTTCTTTATTGGCAAACAAAACACCTCAGACCTGGATTGTCACTTAACTGGGTGGCTCCTTCTCAGTGTCATGTGCAGTGCCTCTTCTCTACCTGTACTCACTCATGCCTGTCTTCCTTGGTTCCTTCCTCCCCATCCTTTTTCAAGACAGTCTCATTGTCTAGTCTAGGGTGCTTCAATCTTAATTCTCCTACCTTGACCTCTCAAGTGCTGGAATTGTATGCATGTGACATCATACTCAAATTTCATTGTCTTTCTTTTTAAGTTAAAAAAACCAAAACTTTATTTTCAGTCTACAGGAAGGAAACCTTTACTATCTAACAAGTAATAAAAATACTTGTAACAAAATTTTTATTTTAGCTGTGTGTGGTGGCACACACTTGAAGTTCTAGCACTTTGTCGATAGAAGTAGGAGGGACGAGAACTTAGCTCCACAGTGCAATCAAGGTTAGTCTAGCTCACAAGACATCCAGCCTCAAAAGACATAAACCAGGGCTGGAGAAGTGGCTCAGTGGAAAGAGCACTTTCTGCCTCCAGAGGACCTGAACTCAGTTCCCAACACTTACATCAGGTGACTCACAGCTACTTCTAACTCCAGCTCCAGCAAATCCAATGCCTCTGTAGGCTCTAGACCTCACAGGCACAAATCCCTACACACATATACATACACACACACACACACACACACACACCCTACACTCATACACCCCTACACACACACACACACACACACACACAAACCCTACACTCACACACACACAAACCTACACAGACACACCCTACACTCACACACACAAACCTACACACACACAAACTACACTCACACACACACAAACCTACAGACACATACACACAGACACCCGACACACACACGCCCTACACACACTCACACACACATACCTATATACAGACACCCTCCACACCTACACACACACCTTATATACCTACACATACTCACCCAGACATCCTACACACACTCACACACACAGACACCCTACACACACACTCACCCATACATAGACAGAGAATCTAAAAAAGAAAAAAACTTTTCATTTTAACCACTTTTAAGTGTATAGTTCAGTATATTTACATTACTTAAATTTATGTAACAAGTTTAAAAAATACACAACTGTCCATGTCTAGAGCTTCGCTATTTTTCTTAAACTGAATCCCAGTACCTATTTAACAATAACTTTCCATTCTCCCTTTTCCTCCAGTACCTGGCAATCACCACTCCACACTATGTCTCTGAGTCTGACTTCTCGAGAAACCTCATATAATAGGAATTGTTCAACCCTTTTATTTTTTTTGTGACTGATTAATAATTTCACTTATATAAATTCTTCCAAGTTTATCCAAGTTGAACCATGTCAGAATTTCATGCCCACCTAAGGCTTGGACACTCTTCTATGTTGTGTGGGGTATATCCCATCTGTTTATTTATGTGGGGTGTATCACAACTGCTTATCCACTCATCGGCTGATATACACATGAGTTGACTTCCCTTGGGCCTCTGTCCCTGCTGTCACTTATCCACATGTGCACAGTAGAAACAGCGACTGTAATTCTGAGGGAACACCACATCACTTTCCGTAACTGCTACACTAGCTTACATCCCAACCAACAGTGCACAGAGACCATTTGTCTACCTTCTAACAATCTATATAACTTTACTACTTTGATAGTGCTCTCACTAATTGTGAAATTATTAATCACAGCTTGGACCTGCATTTCTGAAATAGCTACATAGGAGCAACTTCTCATGAATCTTATAGCGTCTTATATATCAAAATGCAAAGTTTGAAATTTTGATCTGCAAACCTACATTTTCTTCATTCTTTCTTTCTCCCACCCCCACACACATGCACACACTCCTTAAAGAGCACTTTATGTTTAACATGCCCCATATGAACTGCTTCTCCTTCCTTTGAACTTTTCTTCCATAATCTTTTCTATTATGCTAAATGGCAACTCTTAGTCAATTATCCCTCTTATATCCTACATCAGCAGATTCTGAGAGGTCTGCCCCCGGAGCTAACTCAGGAATCTCAGTGCTTCTTACATCTCAAATACAATCAAACTGGTCCAAGGCACTGTCATCCCACTCCTGGGTTCCTACAGGAGTCTTCTCACTGTCT